ACTTTTGGTCCCATTCTTTCCATGCAACGCCCATAGGGCTAATGTTAAAATGCCAAAATCAAAGGGGGGGACGGTGCCCCGGTGCCCTCCCCGTTCCGCCCGCCGCCTATGGAGAGGAAAGATAAGTGAGCAAGGGATTTGAGAGATAGGTAAAGAGTAGTGATGTCAATTACAGAAAATCGGAATACCGATACCAAACCAAATACCAACCAAAACCGTGAGGAAATACCGAAACCGAACCAACCTAGGAACATGAGGCAAATACCAAATTTATACCAATTTATCAGCCTCTTATAAATTAGTGAGGGTTCATAATACCAACAAAATACCAAATATAGGAGGATTGAAATACCAAATACCAAGTTGGTATTGGTTTGGTATCGGTATACCAAAATGTTGGTATCCGATTGACATCTCTAGTAAAGAGACAGGGGAGAAATGAGATTTTATTGCTCCGCTCCTAATAACACTTCCTAAAATAAAATATAATTGGCCGTAATTATCGAATAAGAATCGGAAATTGTCAATTGAACGTCTGATTCGCTTACATCAATCGACAATCCGCCCTATACCATGTTTGACATGGTTGCAGTTTGCACCAAAGCCAGCTTGCAGGCTATAGCCTATACATCGAGGCAGTGGTATATACTATACATCCCGGTGAATTCCTGCATATAGCCGAGACCTGCGGCGGTATTTTCCCACGATCAGCCAGATTTCAAAGTCGTGTATTTTTCGTCCATGGCAGGCGGCCGGCGCAATCTCGGGGAAAGAGGCGCTCCAATAACAAAAGCACGAGCAGATCGCCCAAATGCCGGTGGCCGCGATAAGTTCTCTAGTTTCTGAAGAATTTTCGGGACCCATGCTCTTTTCATACTGGATCGCGTGTGCCTTACAGAAACTGAAAAGTTCTTCCTATATCAAAATATAGAAAATAATCTTTTGTTATAAAGAGGTTTTATTTTCTTTGCTGATCATTTTGAACATAAAAAATCATAAATCCATTGCAAAAAAAAATAATTTCGTGAAAGTGAACTATTTCCTTTAATCTAAGGAAAGACTACGCTCGCTTCGCTCGCTCCGTAATAAGACAATCTTGCATTAGACAACCACGAGGTTTTCCAGTTTCCAGCTATAGTTCGTTTTTTTTAAGTTTGCCCCTCACTGTAAACGTCTTTTTGAACATAGCACGAGAATTGCTAGCTGAATTACTGAGAAAACTGGTTGGCGCACACTGATTTAACCAGATTTCACAGTCGATCAATTTCATCAAATTTATTTACTATTTCACAGACTCGTAAATCGTATCTGCCAATACCTACAGCCCCACAGGGATAGACGACTTCTCAGGAATTATGTCTGAACTAATAAATAAATTGCACGGCGCTTAACATAACGTTAAATCGTCGATGTTCAAAACTTATTTTTGAAAATATTATTCATATATACAATACAATGTGCGCTAACCAGTTTTCTCAGTAATTCAGCTAGCAATTCTCGTGCTGTGTTCAAAGAGACGTTTACAGTGAGGGGCAAACTTAAGAAAAACGGACTATAACACAGTTGATTGATAAACAATAAAAGCTGATACTGACACATGTGGCTTGGTTAGGTAAAGGTATTTCAATCCATTGAAAGAAATATTTGATAAAATAAACTGAGATATAAACAAAAGTATAAAAATATTCAACAGCCTGCGGAAGCGATGGGAAGCGAAATATCAATTGGAAATATTTACCGTAAAATGATTATTCAGTATCTAAATAGAACTCGTGACGTCATTTCAAATAACAAATGAGCTAAGCGTTCTTCCTTCGAGTATAATGAAAATAAATAAAAAATCAAACTGGAAATTCAAAAGTCTGAAGTTTTTTCTCAAAAGAATGTTCATTTTTTTCTGCCTCACATAATTTTACGATACGATTGTTTGTGAATATCATCTTTGTAGCGATGAATTTTATGACGTAAACGTAAGCTGAAAGCGAGTGTGTGCCTTGCATCTTTATTTTATTCACTTTTCAAAAGAATCACAATATCTTACGTCATTAGTTTGAAGGGCCTATTACGGGGAATCTTTTGGAATCATTACGGTTTTAGTCAAATTAAGATTTTTCATTGGTCAAACGATAATGACGTAATAAAACAATATTACCAAAACGTGAGCTGTGAATTTCGTTTGTCTTTTTTGGGAGGCTCTCTCATAACGACAGCACGGCATGGCGCCACACGTGGCACACGATGCCAAAAGTAGGTAATCTGAAGAAGTTGATGCCATTTTTGAACTTGTAATTTTATTAGGAAAGTATTAGAGGTTGGTTGCTATTCTTACTGAATCGAAATTGTGTTGCACATACTAATAGCTCATACGAACATTCTAGATTGGGTTTTCATACCTGGTAGAAGTGGATTGCTGGATTATTTTGAGCAAAACTGACCTATTTGGCTTCCAGATTTGATTTCCTAACATCTGTCTATAGGCGGCGGAACAGGGGGGGGGGGGGGGGTGGCACCAGGGTACAGTGCCCCCCATAGATTTTGGCATTTTAACATTAGCCCTACTGGCGTTGCATGGAAAGAATGGGACCAAAATGAAAATCTGCAGTGCCCCGCTGCCACTGCATCTCATGATCTGCTGTCTGTACTGTTTGTTCATTGAAGTAAAGTGGCTGTAGCTTGTTGATAAGATTGTCATCAGTGCTGTCATGAAAAAGTTACAATTGGTCACAAAAATTAGCAATGTGCATGTTCTTGGTTTATTTTAAATGTAGTACAAATGTTGTTCATTTAAATTCAAATTTAATGATGATACCTAATGATTACAACAACCATGTCCACAAGTGACAATTCTCAATTGTATTGCACTGTAAGGTGTACAATTATGTAGGATAAGGGTTTCATTGGCTACATGTTGTCGTGAGATCCATACAGATCATAGGTCCTCCACAAATTTTTGCCCGCTGGATCCACAGAGATCATAGATCCGACCCCTAAATTTTGTCGAGAGATCCATTCGGATCATAGATCCAACCCCTGAATTTTGTCGAGAGATCCACTTGGATCATAGATCCAACCCCTCTATTTTGTCGAGAGATCCACTGAGATCATAGATCCAGCTCTCGGATCCATGCACATGTCTGCCTCCCACCTTCAAAAAAGTTAATGAATTGGCATGAAAGTGATGTCGCTCGGTTCAGAAAGAGCAAAAACGAATATCTACCAAATTTCATCGAAAAATATTCACCGGTTTTCAAGATATTAGACTTTTACTTTTGTTTACTTTTTGGGATCTCCGCTGTTCCTAGCGACTTTATTTGAAAGTGCGGCATTTGTTGCGCGCAAAGCAGCATATACCACCGCGTGCTACAAAACGTTTTAGTCAAACATTTAACGGACGTTCGAAAGCCTGATGACGTCATCAGATTCCCGTAATGGTTAAGAGATAGGGACCACGCTGGTCCCACCCTGCAAGTAAAGGGAAGAAATTTCTTGAACACCATAAAGCTGGGGGGGTTGCGACCAGGATAAATGGTGGTTTCTGAGCCTGGCCGCAAACTTGGCTATCTCAACTCAAAACTAATGTTAAGGTGGGAGGGTCCCTTTAACTTAAGCTTTTGTGAGCGTTTCATGATTTCATGATTTAAGCTCATTTTTGGTCGAACATGACCTCAGCTTGACCTCAATAACTCCTGCCCTAAGGTGAGTTATGACTTGAAATTTTGTGTGAAGGTGTCAAATTCATGTCTCGGAAGGAACCGAAAATTTGGCGGCGCTGCGCGCCGCCGTTTTTCTCTATTCAAGAAAAACCACAGGGGGAGGGCAAAATGGCCCCCCATCAGGACGCGGGTTAAGATCTACGGTAGGTACGCTTTTATGTCTCAGCGACCAACAGCTCGACATTTTCATATTGACTTATGGACGGGCGACGGCTCCCATAAGTTAGTCGAGCTCAACCAGTCTCCTTATGAAGCTTAGCAAAAGCGCGTGGCTGGGTCGTAAGTAATGAGTAGATAATGTATCACTGCCGGAATACTCTCCCGTTCATCAAAATTGGAGCTTGCTGATACTGCGGCAAATAACGCTCGCTGATAACTATGCACTTTATAGGCACATATTTGTTGAAATCTGGTGCTAGTAAGGGCTAAATAATGATGCAGTCTGATCGATCTACGTAGTTCGGAAAATCGCGGAACATCCGCTCTGCCTTCCCAGGCGGGATTCGCTCCCCGACTAGTGCCTCCAATCCGACGGCATGAGTCCAATGTCCACGGGCCAGAGACTGAATGGCGCGATACGTGTGTGAACGGCGCTGCCAGCTGCTCGATCTCCCATGGACGTGAAAAGCGGTATGGCCTCGTAAATAAAACCCGGGGGAATTGAATGAAACGAAGCTGCGAACGTCATTCAAACGTCAAATCTAGTCCGATCCACTGCCCGTCATCTGAACACGCCGTGTAATCGATGAAGGGCGAGTTTCCCGTGCTGTCGCTAACCGTGTCAATACCCAGTTCCTGGGAGCTGGCTGATGGGCGGCGGCAGACGCGCCGCGCCACTCTAACCACTATCGACGATTGTCCAATACCGGCGCGGCCGATAACCTTTGGTAGCTCCGGCCGCGCCATTTGTCGATATTAGGCCACGGTTGGCCCGTCGCGTGACGTGTCCCGTTGATACTGCACCAGCGACCCGGGACAGATGTCCGCCGGAATGTCGAGCTCAGCGGCAGCCGTCTCGGGCTGCTCCGGAGAGGGGGGTGGACAGAGGCGGGACCGGAGCTTTTAGCCGGGAACGGTTCCGTGCGCTGTTTAAGTTCGTAACTGTGAGGCAGTTTAGGGTGAAATAAATGTTCTGCAAATAACGCACCGGTCCTGCAGCATCAAAAACAAACTTTTAAGACATACCTAAATAACCCCTTAATAACATGAGTATCTGAGAACCCTCTAGTACGTGTGAGTTATGTATCTCATGAGTATGTCTCGTATCTGACGTCAGTCTCGTTGCAGGACCAGGTGCGCGGCCCGCAGTACGCCTCTCTGGGCGACACGGCTCGCGGCGACCCCACCTCCCCGCCCAGCAACCGGTCGGCGCCGGGCAGCGACCGCTGCGGGGACGACGGAGCGTCGGCGGCCGCGCACCGCAGCCCGGCCGGAGCGGCCGCCGAGCCGGCGCCGCCGCTGCCGCTGCCGCTACAGAAGCTGACAGCGTCGCCGGGCCGGGCGTGCATGTCGCTGCAGCGCGTGCCGCCGCCGACGGTGCCGGTGGCGCCGCTGAACGCCAGCCACTCGACGCTGCCGCCGCGGCTGGGCCAGGCGGCGCCGGCGCGCGCCGTGCAGCCGTTCTACTGCGCCGACACGGTGGTGATCCGGCGGCAGACGAGCGCCGCCGCCGGCCGCCGTCACGACTCGGCGCTGGGCTCGTTCGGCACCCACCCGGCGCCGCAGCCGTCGGCGGCCGGCGTCCGCATCTCCGAGCCGGCCGCGTACAGAAACACGGCAGGACTGGTCGGCTCGTGCGGCTAAACTGGACGTCACAGAGCCGGGCTAAACTGAACACTAGCCTGCCAGCCCGGGCAGGCTGGCCGACGCCCGCATCACCAGAAATAGCTGTGCTGTGAACTTCGCGCAAAAGCACACTGGCCAACCAACACAAGTTTTCTCTAGTCTTAGAGCATCCTCTGCAGAGTTGTGAGTAGCTGCCATAAGTTTCCAGGCGTCTCGCGTCGAATTCGGAGCCGCTATTGTCCGGAGCTGGGCGCCATAAGTTAGCTGCAACATGTTTTCGCGGCGGGTCGGCGATAATTCTCCGCCAGCAGGTGCGTTCAATTCGCTGCAGCGTTTCTGTACCGTGCAATCAACGCGCTCTTCAAGAGCGGCGTGCGCTCCAGGCGCCATATCTGCAGTGTTGTGCTGTGTTGTCGGTGTTCGGTGTAACTGACACTGCCAGAGGGGCGCGCCACGCCACACATCGACAAGGCAACCATATCGAGAGAACCGCATACTCAAGAGAGGAGCCTTCGATACTGGCATATCCGTAATAGGGCAACATGAGCGCGAGATCCGACTAGCCTAGCAGCCCCATTCCTGTCCAACCCGAACCCCTCACCAGCATATCCCGTCTTAGTTATAGCCTACTCGTAGAGCAGCTGGCGGCAATCAGTAGACACTGCTGCAGTAACTGTGGCACTGCATTGACTCGGTGACCTTTTCAATCACTGGGCACCGGAGGGGCGTTCGTTGCCTGTCCGTTCAGCAGAGCTGGTACTCATCCGGCACTGTTTTATTCAGTTTCCCGGCACACAGTCACCGTTTGAAATAAGATCGCGACATTACAATAACTCAACTTCAGACTCGAAGCCTTGCAAGTGTGTGTACCTGCCCCGCGGCAGGGCCAATTTTATTTGCCGATTATTTCGTTCCCCTATGCTCTACCACAAAACTATGCAATGACAACGATGACCTTTGATACTGAAATGTCTGAAAGACTGAATAGAGAGCAACTCCATCCCAACACCACATTTCAAATGGCCTTAAGGCCGTCAGTGTGGCGAAAGTAATCAACTCGGCACGTGCACCGAATTATCACAAGACACACAAGATGATCATTTCATTTTTCTGCGATGAGGTAGGGAACGCACGACGAAGGGTAGCGGACGACATTTGTGGTGCATCAGTGTTTGTACGTGTTTGTGTAATTGTTCACGGGTGTCAAACGCGTCGCGTGTCTTACACTTCCTATTTTCAGTGCTTTTGTTGGCTGTGTACGGTTTGTGACCTTTAAATATTTGCGTTCGCTTAATTTTGCAAACAGTAAATGTTATGCATTTTATCTAATTACTACTACCGTCAGACTAGCATTTATACAGCGGAGTGAAAGTTTGTGTAAAATAAATGTGAAGATCTGAACTTCGCAATCTGCATTTCGGGCAAAGGCAAGTGTGCGTACCAAATGCAATAGCATTACGACCACCGATCCAAATTTCGCGAGTAACCCCACAAAATTTGTCTTTAAAATTATCGCACAATAGATTATGTATCGTTACAGACCTTACGAACAAGTATCGCGAAGTCCCCCTCTGCTATTCATGTCCTGTTCGGTTATCACCGTCAATTGGCATCACTGCGACACGACTTCGAAACAGTTAACGCTCTCTAATGGTCATTACTATTAAACTTCCATTTTCAATGTTGTCGAAAATGACGATCCGTAGCTTTGAGCTAAAATCGAGCTTTGAGCGTTGGGAGTTGTTCAACAAGTAGAGATTGTTCAAACGAACAACCTCCAGCACACAATCTGCAATCCTTTAAAAGAAACGCCCTTTACTGCAGTCTTCCATTTTCGACATTTTTATGTAGAATATTGAATAATCGTATATAAGCGCACAGTCAGAAACTATAATAGCAATTTGTTCTGTATACATATATTTCACTACAAAATATACTAAACGATTCATCTCAGCAGCTCGCACTGGAGTGTGCCAATAAGCTCCAATTTAAGCTTCCAGAGGGAAATGGAAATAACTAGCTCGAACTTGTTTTACAATAATAAGTCATATAATTCCAAATCACTGGCACTTGACGCTTCACAATGGTCTAGACAAGCTGAGCCGACATATCTAGCGCTCGTTTTCTAGCCATGGATTCCCTTGTACTGCATTGCATTGATGTTTGGTATGCATTTTGAATTGCATACTTCGCCACAACTCGGCGGGCCTTCACAGAGCACCACTCATCACAATAAGAGGAGACTGTTCTTGGAGGCTGTAGGTAATAGGTAAAGGCACACTAAAGTAGATTACGTAAAAGGTCACGGCCGGATCGGCATCGGTTTCACGGAACTGCCAATAGACGACTTAGTGCTGACGGAGACAAAGGTACAAGTAAATACGCACCTTAACAATGCTTTCTCGCTCCCGATAAAATCAAACCCAAAACGAAACTAAGAAGACGTCATACCTTGCCAAACGGTTCGGTGGCCGAGTCTGTCCTTTGATCAGGAGTTTGTCGGATTAGGGAGGCAGGTTGGCGCTCGGGATGCAGCTCACTTCTTCGACACGATCTGGCGGGCAATCAGCTCCCGCATAATCTCGTTGCTGCCGCCATAGATGGTCTGGACCTGAAACGACGAGCAGACAATTACATAATGATGGTCGGTGACGCTAAGTCTCAAGATGTTCGAGCGTGTGTTAATAATCATGAGACAAGGATTAAAGGAAAACAGACGAGTCGTTTTGATACTTGATATCACGAATATGATTCGGGGTAAAAATGTGCATGTAATGGGGGACTTGGCAAAATGGCTTCATCGCTAGTGCGACATCTTTGAAAACCTAAATGTTAACATTTACAAAAACAAGGCACGGCAGAAAACAACAGAAAAAAATAACCATCGGAAAAAAAACGACAAGACAAGGCTATTTCAATGGCCTTTCATCAAATGCTACGATCGATGACAGCTACATATGAAGTTCTAGCTAGGATGCTGCCATATTCTCTCGGCCAGCAGCGCCACCTGCGCCGGCCGGCAGTCCGATCCGGCCGGCCGGTGTCACTGACTGACACACACCTTGGCGTCGACGTACGCCCGGCAGACGGGGTACTCCCACATGTAGCCCCAGCCGCCGTGCAGCTGCACCGCCTCGTAGGTGATGCGGTTCTGCAGGTCCGTGATCCAGTACTTGCACATGGAGGCCATGCCGCCGTCCAGCTTGCCCTGGTTGTGCAGCTCGATGCACTGATCGGTGAAGGCGCGGTTCACAACCAGCTCGGTCTTCATCGCCGCCAGGCGGTGCTGAATCGTCTGTGGAAGCACGGGACGACGTCAGACGAGTAGGTTCCCCCTATTCGGTCACCAATCCCGTCTCAGTCACTGAGGCGAAACAAGTTTCCGCCTTTTACCTGTTTTTATATTGTGACTATCGGCACAGAATAGCCACGCCGGTGTATGTGGAGTGCTGGCAAAAGTCAATACATAGTTGTCAGTGTAAATTAACACATATCCGGATTGCGCCATTATGAGTGCTAACATGTTTTCTTTCGTTATGTGATTATATGAAAAACGTCCTTATCCCAAGCAGGTTTTTAAACCACCGGACACCCTCTCAGTCCCTCCCACTGGCAACACTTTATCTTCGGCCTCCATCCGGTCTGCGGACCGAGGGCGGCCTTATTGGTCCTCAGATCAGTTCGGTTATCGGTTTAGAGGGCCCTGGCTGTTCAGGGGCAGAAAAGCCGCGGCGGGGAGCGCCCTCACCTGCAGGTTGCTGAGCGTCTTGCCGAAGGCCTTCCTGTTGAGCAGGTAGTCACGTGTCTCCTCGAAGGCCCACTCGCAGTTAGCCATCGACATGATGGCGATCAGGAGGCGCTCCTGCGGCAGCTCCTGCATCAGCTGGTAGAAGCCGCCGTTCTCCTTGCCCAGCAGGGCTGACTTGGGCAGGCGCACGTCCTCGAAGAACAGCTCGGCAGTGTCCTGCGCCTTCATGCCCATCTTCTGCAGCTTCTGGCCCTTGCGGAAGCCGGGCATGCCCTCCTCCACGAGGAAGAGGCTGATGCCGTGAGCGGGCGACTTGGCCGAGGGGTTGGTGATGGCCACCACGATCACCACGTCGCACATGTAGCCGTTGGTGATGAATACCTTGCTGCCGTTCAGAATGTAGTCGTCGCCGTCCTTCACTGCCGTGGTGCGCACACCCTGCAGATCACTGAAACCAAACGCTGAGTCAGGGCGTGCTGTTGGGAGTCAAGCATTCCACACTCCGCCAAGATCGCCCTAGTGTGTCAATGATTCATCTCCACGGCACTTATCTCCTTTCCTTTACTCCCTACTCATCTCCGTCCCTTGATTTTGTTCAATTATGACCCTTCATCGTGTAGTTCAGCGTTCCGTTAAACGACAACGATACAATCTAGGCCTTGCCATCCAAACATGTTAAACGTTGCAGAAAGTAAAAATTTAAGACCGGCCACTTCACATGAATTAGTGTACGGCACAGAAATACCTAGTTCCCACATTATCTACTTTTAGTTCACATGTGAGAGCAAGACCAATCATCGTAACAAGTCTGAAAGTTTAATTTCCCAACGATCTGGTTCATGTCAATCTAACACGCGAGGTAGCCCTGGGCTGCAGAAATTCAATCTGTGGCAAAATTCTCTACATCGGGTAAACAGCCTGATAAGCTCCCTGAACCTTGCACCCGATTAGCTAAACATAGGATCCAGTTGACCCCAGCCCGCGGCGTCTGCCTCCTGACAACGAGCAAAACGCTTCAATGAGTGATGATCGAAGCACTTTCCGAATCGTGTTCGGTAAAATCATCGGTAACTTAGAGGTCGTGCCACGCGACCCAAACTCTTGCCCTGTCAGTTGAGAGAACATTTTATCAACTTCACAATGACTCAGCAAAGCGTTTCATCTCGATTCCTTATTTGTATCTCCGCCGTGGATCTCTCACCAGCCCCCGCCTAACCGGTCCATCCCCGCCTCACCGGTCCATCCCCGTCTCACCTCACTGGCCCGTCCCCGCCTGACCTCCCCGGTTCCCGCCTCCCCGGTCCATCCCCGCCTCACCGGCCCGTCCCCGCCTCACCAGCTCGTCCCCGTCTCACCTCACCGGTCCATCCCCGTCTCACCGGTCCATCCCCGTCTCACCTCACCGGTCCATCCCCGTCTCACCGGTCCATCCCCGTCTCACCTCACTGACCCGTCCCCGCCTAACCTCCCCGGTCCCCGCCTGACCAGCCCCGTTCCCGCCTCACCTCCCCGGTCCCCGCCTGACCAGCCCCGTTCCCGCCTCACCTGCCGGCTCCCGGCTCGGTCATGGCCAGGGCGCCGATCTTCTTTCCGGCCGTCATGTCCGGGATCAGACGCTCGATCTGCTCCGGCGTGCCAAAGTGAGATATGTACGGCATCACGATGTCCGAGTGCATCGCGTAGCCGGGACCGGTGCAGTTGCTGTAGCCTCTGCGCAGGAGTCAGACACCGGTCAGAGGCGCAGAGAAGGGGGCGACCGGGGCAGTAGTCGATAGTCGCGAAATCGTTGGGAGGGGGGGGGGGGTCACGGAAATGGTCGCTGGATTTTCCGACACAAATTTAGCGATTGAAGATGTTCATGAAGCAGCAAGTTATTCACCCCAGGCAATTGCTATAATAGTATCAACAATACAACCAAGAGAACGATGAGAGGTAAATGAGTAACATGGACCGCTGCAATAACTGTAATTCGCATTAGCAGTGTTAAGCAGCGTGACTATTAGGCATAATATGGGGTGACAGCTATGGTCGTTCCGAGGAATTAACTGTCGATGGTTGCCACAGAGGCCTCGTGGGCACTAATGAATTCATGGAAAAACACTGTGTTGACGCTTTACGGCCAGTTGCTAAGTCATTGTGAGGTCGGAGTCGAGTTGTTTATATGATCCTTGAACTTTGATCAATGGACAGCAGACACAATTCTAATTGGTTATTGGAAACCAGGATAGGTTTCGCAGAAGGCGGGCATCGACTCCAATCCAGGAAAATCGAATTCCAACAGTCCACCGTAATAGAAAAGAGGAACGCATTCTCGGCTCGGCCCCACATATCACCATTCACGTTTAATGAACTTTCAACAACAGACAAATTACCGACAACACGGTTACAACACCAAATGCCAGTACTGACTTCACGCGCCCGTCAGCGGCCCTTACTGTTCCTCGAGGACGATGGAGGCGTCCAGCCAGTCGCCTCCGATGCCTCCGTGCTCGGCCGGGGTATTGACCCCGAGGAGACCCTGCTCTCCGGCCTTCAGCCACACCTCGCGCGAAACCTGGCCGTCCTTCTCCCACCTGGAAAAACAGTGATTGTCAGAGCACTTGCCACTCATTGGTCATCCTGGAGGCAAGTGAGATGCAAAAAAGTCAATCCATGCAAATATGAATAGAAATCTGTGGACATACTAAAAAAAACATTTCAGAGTCACCATGCAGAAGGTATACTTACTGGCCATGGTATGGCTTCACTTCTTGTTCAAAGAACTTGCGGACTGACTCACGGAACATGTCATGATCTGAATTGAAGAGCGTCCTACCACCAATGTCGCTCAGCTTTGGCATCTGAGATGTAGCTGGACGGTATTCATCAAAACGCCTGAAAGAAATGTCACAGATGCACATCAATACATGAAATAATAAACACAATTTGATCCCATTAACTGGTTTTACATCTACATCTTTATCACATGTTCCTAAAAAGTGCACCTGAACATGGTAATTACCATGCAGCTTAAGCTGCACCATCACAGATCACTTTCATCAGGTAGTTTCTTTTAACATGAAGCAGTCAGGAAGAGAAGACAATAGATTGGGGACCTCACCAAACTCATAAACCTCATTATGGGATACAGGCTGCAATTTTAGGATTATAGTTGATATTAGCAAAAGTGCACAAACGCAGCAATCATGATACCACGCCAGTGCTTGCCCAGCACTAATCTGAACAAGTTGAGACTGCTTTTAATACTGGATTCAGGAAGGAAACCCAGTCATTTAAAGCTCTCAGCTATTAAGAATTGTATCTATTTTTATTATATTGTAACTTTACAATTGAAAAACAAATACCTTCACAAGTAAAACAACTTAGAAAGGAAGATACCATTGACAAGACATAGTTGACAGAAGTAGAGTAAGGGCTAAGTTCAGTTGAATTTTATGACTGGGATCAGCCTCTCCATAACAGATTTCAGAAAAATAAGCACCAAAACACCAAAAATCACATACTTGCCTACAAACCCACCCTGCAAAAAACTTCAGTTACTGGAGAACTGGAGTACCTTACAACTTGCCTTTGCCTGTTTGAAAAGGCTACAACTTTGGCTCATGGAATAATTATTTGTGAAATGTGCCTATTATATAATACGTAAACTTCACGAATATGGCGCAGACTTACCTAGCACTCACTCCAAAGTTTCTCGCGTTAATATTTCCATTACCAGCCTGGATTAGAGTCTTTTGCCGCAAGAATGCAGCGGCAGTCCGAGCCGGCGTCCTGCAACAACCAACGAGACCCATATCGGGAATTAAAAGCACAGAAATGCGAATCACACCCAGCGTTTCTTCCCACGGACACGAAGAGAAAGAGACAGAGGTCGGGAGAAAACGGGAAGAGACCAACCAAAGGATTTAACTGAGTTGGTAGCATTTTCTCGGCGAAATATTGAAGGGATTGACTCAAAGAGATGAAAAAGTTATTGTTTTAACTTAGTAAAAAATGAGGAAGGCTTTATGAAGATACCTATTGTGAATTTCTGGGCTTTTGAAAACTAGTTTCACCTAACATACCGATTCTTGAGAAAAACTAAAAACTTTTTTTTCTACTGACAGGGAAAACCCTTATTTTTGGTAAATAAATGGTAGCATTGTATAAAGCTGTAAGTGGCGCAGGCGTTTCAAAATAAATCTTCCAAAGATTCTTGGGTCCACGGTCCACTGAACTATACTGATACAATAACCCGGTTTACATAGGGTTTGTTGCAAGCTTATATCTCCGTCCGTGATGTTGCAAAAGATGCCAATGGTGCTGAACAATTTACAAAATGATCCCCTCTAAATATTTGAAGACCACTGCATCGAAATTATCGCCAAATTAACGAGCTAGAGCCTCGTCAAGTATGCTATGTAAACCGGGTTAATGCTGGGGGATCGTATCAGTAACGTGGGTATTTCAATTCAGGGGTACCTATATAAACCAATTTCAATGTCAATTTCGCTTTTCAAGTTTCAATTTCAGCAGTTTCTACCTATATACTATGTAGAATAACGATAATAATTCAAGTTTATTGTACAAGACAAATTCCGCAGCTTCTGCTTAAGCAGTAGCTGCGGAACACTTTCAATTAAGGGGGGGGGCACTGCCGACTTTTGGTCCCATTCTTTCCATGCAACGTCCATAGGGCTAATGTTAAAATGCCAAAATCAAAAGGGCACGGTGCCCCGGTGCACTCCCCGTTCTGCCGCCTATGAGACAAAGCTTTTGCTACATACAGTATCTTGATCACCATGTCAATGAGATGAAGAATATTTGAAAATTCAGAAGTAACAAAAACCGACGCAAGTCATTATACACGAAAGTTTGACTCCTTCCTGCTTTACGACTACCAGCAAATCTTTGCTCAATTCTTCTACAATGCATGGGTTGTTTAACCGTATCAGTATTGAGATGGTATTGGGATTTGGGAACAGGGTTTCCTTTGGCATTTATCTTTTGGACATTGGGGGCTGATTGTAGGAAGCTGTATAATGAGTGCTCTCATTAAATATCCCATTTCAAGTAGGTTAACCTACTTGAAATGGGATATTTTGTTCAATGCAATTGAATTGACGTAAGGTGTCTGTCCATATTTCAGACTGCCAAACTGTGTGTTATGCTGATTGTGCAGCTTTCATCATGAAGTACAGTATTTGGTAAGATAAAATTCTGTATTAAACTGAACCCTGCTGACTGCTGTGCCATTTTATGACTTGTTTCTTCAACTTCTACTGCTATGTATGTTTTCAAATGTTTTGCAGAGAGTTACCATTGTTACCAGAGAGAATGCATTGTGACCTAATATGTTGTACCTTTTTCAGCATGGTGTCAGATTTCTTCTATCCAAACAGTGGTGGGGTTGAGGCCCATGTGTTTCAGCTGTCTCAGTGCCTTTTGGCTATGGGTCACAAGGTCATTGTGGTCACACACAGCTATGGAAGCCGTGTTGGCATTCGCTACATGACCAGTGGCCTGAAGGTATGTCTGCTTTGCTCTGCACTGGCTGTGATGCTGATTATAAATTTGACATTGCTGAACTAAGGTCATGGGTGTGTGATGCAAAGTGGTTTGTTTGAATCAAATATCAAATGAAATGTTTATGTTGCACCTTTTGAAGGAGCAAAAATATCATGAGATAACTCACAAATATGATAAAAGTGACAACACATAAACTCATGTTGATGTGGCAAGCAATATCTACATTGTTACCCACCATGGGGTTGTACTCCCACATGGATAGGTGTATTACTGCCCCTACAAGACGTTCTACAAGGGCTGTGTGCTGCCGACCATGCTGACCACCCTGCCTCTGCTGAGGAACATCTTCATCCGGGAGCAGGTGGACATCGTACACGGTCACTCAGCATTCTCCACGCTGGCGCACGAGGCGATGCTGCACGCCGGCAGCATGGGTATCCGGGTAAGGAGATAGCGGCAGGTCGGTGGTTGGGTGGATCCGCACCGTACCGCTCCGGGTCACCATTTCGTGCAGTTCTATTGAAACATGGCGTGAAACAACCATTACGCATAGCCGGGATTTAATTCTGACCATCGCTTATCCGCCTCGTCTCGCATCTGTACTAATGCGCTGACTGACGTCGTCCCCCTCCCTTCCCAGACGGTGTTCACGGACCACTCGCTGTTCGGCTTCGCTGACACGTCGGCGATTGTCACCAACAACTTCCTCCAGGTCTCGCTGGCCCAGGTCGACCACTGCATTTGCGTCTCCTATACCGGGTATGAAACGCTGCATCGTGGTTACACTTACATCCGTACAGTTGCTCGTACGCTTAAACTTTGTGTTGTGAAAATATACGTAAGAGAACGTCCTCATTTTGCAAATGCGAGTCTAAAAAGCCATTGTTTGCATCTTGCCAAGGTTCCATATTTTGTAAGGTAATTGTTGTGGTCCCGAGTGTGTCCCGCCTGACTTCAAAGCGCCAGTGTCCTTGTACATCATCACCACCACCCACGCTGTGTGTTTCAGGAAAGAAAACACGGTGCTACGAGCGAACGTGACCTCACACCGAGTCTCCGTGATCCCAAACGCGGTGGACAGCGCCGCCTTCACGCCGGAACCTTCTCGCCGGAGCTCAGATAGGGTGAGTGGTGAGCGGGTGAGTGCGGTATCGTGGGTTGTTGTAATACGTGAGTTGTGATATGTCATTTACTAGACAGTTGTTACATTTTTTTATCGTTCCGAAACTGTTTACAGCAAGTGCATGTATCAAACTGCAGTAGACTATAGCCACGTTGTATAAAGTACCCTTCTCACTCCGCCCTAGGAACGACCCGTCTATCATGAGCTATCCCGTTTCGTGCGTATCACCCCGGATACATTGTTGCATTAAATGTGCGCGCCCTTGATGAAGTAGGTCTGAGGCTGTCCCACCTTAAGATACGTTTATGAAATAGCCTTTTGAAGTACAACCTCGCTGTTTCATTGCGGATTATTTATTGAATATAACTCAGAGATAAACGGGAGAGCTGGCGGCGAGGCTGCGGCCGGGAAAAGGAGGAATCAGTGCGCCGGCCGTTAGCAGCAGTAGTGTCAGTAGCGGAGAGCCGGGCGGGAGCGGCGGGCGGCCGTCCCCGCCCGGCGGCGGCGGCGGGCCGCGGCTGGCGTCCCGGCAGGACGCCCGGCGGGTCGGCGGGTCACGGGCCGCGGGGACGTCACCCTGCCGGCCTCAGTGCTCCATGGTCTGCGGCGAGTCGGGTCGCGGCTCGCGCTCCTCAGGAGCCGGCTCGTCGCGCAGCGGCGCCGGCTCGGCGGCCGGGGCGGCGCCGTGGCCGCCGCGGCGCTGGATGCCCTCCAGCTTGGCCAGGAAGGGCGCCACCTCCTCGTCCTCGTGGATGGTGAACTCCATGCCCTTGCCGACGACGGCCACCGTGCAGTTCTTGGTGGTGAGGTCCATGTCGTTGGGCAGCGTGTCGCGCAGCGCGAGCAGCGCGTGCGTGACGATCTCCTGCCAGGTGCAGTCGGGGAACTCGGCCAGGTGTTTCTCCAGGTACGTACGCGCCGACTGTGAGCGGGCGCCGATCGCCATCGCCTTGCAGTCGAAGTAGTTGGCCGACGGGCAGGTCTGGTAGATGTGCGGCCCGGACTCGTCGTAGCCGGCCACCAGCAGGCCGACGCCGTACGGCCGGCTGCCGTCGCGCTGCGTGCACACCTGCATCTTGTTGCCGAGGTCGCTGATGAGCCGGCTGACGGGCAGCGGCCGGTCGTGCGCGTACTGCGCGTTCAGACACTCTGTGCGCATCCAGCGGCTGAGGATGCGCGCGTCGGCCGTCAGACCGGCGATCGACACGCCCACGTGCCCGTCGATCGGCATGATCTTCTTCTGGTGAGCGGACAGTTCGGAGGAGGCGCGCTTCAGCGCCACCAGCACGGCGTGCGTGCGGCACTTGAGGCCGACGGTGGCGGCGCCCTGCTTCACCGCCTCCATGGCGTACTCGACCTGGTGCAGCCGGCCCTGCGGGCTCCATACCGTCACGTCGTTGTCGTACTGGTTACGGAACATGGCTGCTGCTCAGGGAACCTGTAACATAGAAACACGAGTGTGAGACTCAGTCTAGCGCTGAGCTGTGACCCCACAGATCACGGTCGTCATGGTGTCCCGACTGGTGTATCGGAAAGGAGCAGACCTGCTCGCCGGCCTGATCCCGCTGGCATGCCGCAAACACGACAAAGTAAGTCACTAGCCAGCATCATAGTCGATTGGTCGCTTATCAAAGGAACACATTGGGTCATTGCCTTACAGTTTTGGCCAAACGCCGAACAGTGTGGCTTTAGTGCATACTTCGATTAGTATCATTTCGTTTCTTTCTATTTTCAACTAACTATTTTCGTATACGACTGTCCATTGGTTTACAACATTCAGCTCAACAAGCTCTATTATTTTCAGCTGCATTTTTTGATCGGAGGCGACGGACCAAAACGGTCCATGCTTGAAGAAATGACTGAGAAGAATCAGCTGAGTGATCGGGTCACTTTCCTGGGCGAACTGAAGCATTCCGAGGTAATTAAACGTGCGCAGGTCAGCGAGCGCAGTTGGGGCCCGCACGTTCTAAGGGCCAAGCCAATGGACTGCTAATTGCTAGCAATGTTATCGTAAAACTTTGTGTTCACTACGACGCCTGTCTGCTGTCATGGCCAAATTAGTGGCCCACTGTCGCGCTCGCGCGACATGCAATGAACGCTTCCACATTGGTTTGTTTTAGGTGCGAGATGTGCTGGTGCAGGGCGACATCTACATCAACTGCTCGCTGACAGAGGCTTTCTGCATAGCCATTGTCGAGGCGGCCTCCTGCGGGTAAGGTTTCATCTCGAGATACGCTAAACAACTATTTATATTCCGATTATAAAATTGATTTATAGTATTTCTGACCTTCCAGCTGGCAACTGGCTTCGTGTAGCCGCCCAGCCGCTCCAGGTCGGCGTTTTAATTAAGGTTGAGTCACTGTATAGGATGACAGACAATGTATGTTAAACATGTATCAAAGGACTGTGTCATTAAATGGCTGTTAAAATAAATGCCACAACAGCAGCTTTGTGTTGCCCTCAGACTGCAGGTGGTGAGCACACGCGTCGGCGGGGTGCCGGAGGTCCTGCCTCCCGACCAGATCTGGCTCACCGAACCCACAGTCGAATGTGAGTGCCCACCGGCTCCGGAGGGGCGTGGACGGCTTGTTAATAGGGATCAGCTGTCAGGGGAACTTAACTGATTAACCCGCGCCCCGCTGGGGGGGGGGGGGGGCAGAATCTGCCCCCCTCCCGTTTTTCGCTAATAACTTCTAAACGCGTTGCGCCAGCGACGTGAAACTTTCAGTACCTTATCATACATCAATTTGACACGATCCCTGAAAATTTGAGCGAAATCCGTCGGAAAATTTTTGAGAAATTGACGTTTTAGTGACGTCATGTTCGCCATTTTCGCCTCAAAAACGGCAAAATTTCAAACGCTGCTAAAATCTTCAATTTTAAAGGAATCAAGACGTAACAAAAAAGGTTATACGTGATTCTACTGTGTCTATCAAATGGCTATCTCGGTTTTTTGAAAATTTTGGATTTTGGCCCAAATTTTTTTTCAAAAAACTGACTTTTTTGGGAAAGTAATTATAAAATCCAAAATTTTGAGGGTATCGAAAAAACCGGAATATATGTCAGAGAAGTGGTCTATGTGCACCTACATACTAATTTTTAGAAGAATCGGTTCAAAAATGTGGGAGTTATTCAAAATTTTATGACGTCACGACACACAAAAATTTTGAAAAATGATTTTTTTTGGAAGTTCTAGACCTCGTACGGAAACGAAAATAGCATCATTCGATTCGCCGTGAAAAACTGCATCAGATAGACACCTTTTTAGGCCTAAACAACCAACTTCAAAATTTGACCTCACTTGACCTGACCTTGACCTGACCTTGACCCCAAGTTCATCCAGAGGTGGTCCATATCACTTATTGAGTGTGCCTATTGAATTCTATGAGTAAAATGACCCATAAAACATGTGTCGCACATGCCCTTTTCTATATTTTGTTTTTGGTGACCTGACATGACCTGACCTGACCTTGACCTTGACCTTTGAATGACATTTTTTGCAACGACTATTGCCTTGGTAGTCTAAGAACACGTTTTGGGCAATCAGTCTCAGTCCATTCTTCGGCAACTACGGTGCAAGGCCGATACTGTAGAAACTTGCATTTTGTACCCTTGACCTGACCTTGACCTGACCTCTGACCTACTTCAGCAAAAAAACTTGGGCTCTTTAGATCCGCCTTGTTGAGAGCTTTCGATTGCCGTTTTCCCCGTCTTTCTACGACCATCGGTTCGGAAGTTAGACAGGGGGGGCAGAATCTGCCCCCCCCCCCCCCCCCCCAGCAGGGCGCGTATGGCTGAATAGCCCAGCGTGGCGCGGGTTAATAAACCGGATGAGAAATTGAAAACCTGCAGCACATCATGAACGTAAATGTGATTGTTATGAAGTACCCATTCGATGACAACACAACCTTAGAATGCCTCCATAATCCTGCGTCACGACTCACGTTTTGTCTGCCAACAGCCCTTCTGTCCGGGCTGGACGCGGCCGTGGCGGAGGCCGGCCGGCCGAGCGCCCTGTCCGCCTGGGACCGGCACCGGCGCGTGGCTAGCATGTACCGCTGGCAGGAGGTGGCCGCCCGCACGCAGGACGTGTACGATATCGTGTGGCGGACGCCGCGGCGGGACCAGCGCAGCCAGACGATGAGGCAAGCGAGTGAATGTTGTGTAACGGTTACTGATTCACACCCTTGCCGATAATAATGCGCCTCATTTGTGATGAAATATATGCATTAGATGAGTTGGATATTTGACCGAGACAAACGCCGGCTTGTGTTTGCCAGTTCAGGCCTTGGTACCCAGTGGTGATTCACCCACTCCTGGCTGTTTTGCAGGTACTTGTCCTCGGGGCCACTCTCGGGAAAATTCATGATCGCTGTCCTCTTCCTGCTTCGGCTGTATTCAGCATTCCTAGAATGGTTTCAGCCGAGAGAGGTGAGTTCATAAATTTGAATCTCTTCTACCGCATTTCCCCCCGCCAATGATTTTTTTTCACATTTGGCTTTTGCATCTATTTCTAATTTGCACACGAATAATATTTGATCACTTAACGATTTTCTTTTACTTTTAGAATACCATCGAGCAGTATCAGATCATAGATAACTCTAAAAAATAGATCCCACCGTATACCTTTGTAAGATGTAATATTCCGCCTTTTTCAGGACATCGAGCTAGCGGCGGACTGGCAACGGGGCTTTCGCAGCGCAAATCAACCGCTACAGCATTGATTAGCTCAAGAAGCTACACTGTAGCAGCGCAGTGTCGACTCGAGGGTTCAACATTCTAACGTTTTGCTTTTAGGAATGTGGCCGTGTTAGCTAATTGGATGAAACCTGATATATTTAGAGAACCATTGATAATGCCTCACATCAAACTAGTGGTACATGAGGCTGTTTCGGCTCACGAGCATCTGGAGTAAGCTATCTGCAGTGAACAGTTTGTAATTGTGGACCTTGTTGGTCATATTACTAGTCACAGTGTTCAAAATGTGTGTATTGTCATGGAGCAACCAGAAAAGTAGGAAACATAGTGCTTTGCACTGTTAGCAGAAACAAGACTTGTGTACTGCCATCATGTTTGTTCTTGTTGCTTGAGAGTTGAGCAATATCAAGAAAGTGGGTGTGATCTTACAACCTACTGACTGCTTGTTAACTTGCTATGTGCTATGGTTTACATTGACTTTGTCAGCAACTTTATAAATAAAATGCTCACTTTGTATTTGCAAGATCTGTTTTCTCATTGAAAATGTTGCCCTTTTATTACTCGTCAGACAAAAGGGCAAAAAGGGCAAGTCCTACCTTTGCAATATCTTCATTTAATATCAATGACTGGTTGAATATACTTTTTGTGTCCAAGGGACATATAATGAAGTGTTATAAGGATGCTAGCTTTTTTAAACTATATGTCAAATTAAATCCAAGTGTGCTGGATTCTGGCAAAATGTACACTTCATCAAATTTTGAAACTCAAGAACATCATCCCCAACACATTTGCCTCATAAACAACCCAGTTTACAAAATTAGGTACTTAACTACCTAAACCACAACTTAGTCACTTCAGTCACAATAGCTCATGCTGTAAGCAACAATGCTCAACATCAGGTGTGAGCGCATATTAAATACAAGTGTGGGAAAGGTCAATCAATCCAAACTTGACTTGCCCAAAAAGTAGGTATTTGAAAAGGTTAAGTTGAAATCAATCATAGATAAAATGATGTGGTCACATGTTACTACAATAAGAATGCCAAATGCAAGAGTAACCTGAGCTCTGTTCGCGCCCATTTATATATCAGCAGGCTGCGAGCATGCTGCTACTTCTTGGCTCCTCATTGGTCGAATTCAAGTGGTCTATTCGTTAGACCAATGAGAAGCCAAGAAGCGCCAGCAATAACTTCCTTGTATGGGGAAAACCGACAGCACGCTGATATAAAAACAGCGAATCAACCGAGCTCAGAACTACATTCTGACCCATCCTTTCGGCATTAGTAGAGCAGAACACAAACATCACATGTAAGTTTTCCAACCGAGGAAAGGCGCTGTAGGTTTGTAGGTTGTAGGTAAGGTTGTATGTTGTAGGTAGGTTGGCAAATGTTTAGGGTTAGTTAGAGCTTAGAAAGAAGCAGCTCCAGGTAGGTATAGCTCCTCTCCTCAGTTGGAAAACTTTCGTGTTAGTGGTTAAAGCAACGAGGTCATACTTGGCCAAGTTACAATGCTAATCGCATGCCCTCAACATACAAACGTTGAAAAACTGACAATTTTGGCTAGACTTAAAAAAAAACTGAATTGCAATGATGGTGCAGTTCAGCAACGTAGTTCGCTTGGCTGGCGGCTACTGGGCCGCAATACGGCCTTGCTATGCAGGTCTGGTGGTGATCGAGAAAAGGAATAATGGAGATTAATACACCATAATAATAATATCACAGACCAAGATTCTCACCTTTCCTGAATTGCCGAAAGAAACTTCTCACTCTTATACGGCCTTGTTCTCACTCTTTGCCGCGCGCGATGACTTGCCGGAAACTTGCCGGAAACTGCGGAAACTCTCGACGGGATTGTATGTATCTACCTCGCCATATTTGGCGCAGATTTATCAAATACTTTTAACAGCTTCTGAATCCCTAAGAAGATGCTAAAAGTATAAGAAGGGATGCTTCAAAATTGACTTTGGTTGAATCTATTAGCAACGTCTAATTTTTAATGGTTAAGATGATTGTGAAAATGACTAAAAAAATAACAAAGTTCTGTGTTACCATGGCAACCAGATTGCCCCAGACGTCAGCTGTTTTGATGGAATTTGGGAATTTGCGGGAATTTGCGCGTTTGGAGATTTGGAGTGGGTGTGGATTTGGAATTGATGAAGAATTGATAATCCCAAGACAATCTTGTATTGGGAGTTGACTGTAGTTTTTAATATGTCATCGAAAATGACATTTTGCGTGTTTTAGAACTCATACCGAAGCAACTATTGTGTGAGCGGTAAGGCACCGTCATTATGTTTTTCATTCCTGATTCCCGTTCTCGCGTCAGCTTAATGTTACGGCCACAGCGGGCTTCACTCAATATACCCTGACAGCGGGCCACGAGTGTAAAATCCACTTTTCAGTGGCCTGGCTAAAATCATAAGGGTGTCGGGCAACCACCCAGGTCGTTTGGTGTTCCAAGTGGTTCATAATTTCCATGCACTTCAACTTTCAAAAGTATAGTCGGTAAAAGAATGCGTTTGACTGGCTTAGTGGTCATGGTCACTCAGTCACGGGCAAGGCCCTAAATACACGGGTATGGCTCGGCAGCGCAGCCCTTCATATGCGGCCGCCCGGGCCGTATATTTATATTTGGACGGATGTAGGGCGCATATATAGTGTGTGTCGGAAGGGGAGGGGAACGGCGACGATCGCAGATCACGACTCGCGCCCAACACTTTCAATTCGCTGCAGTGCGATGTGTCAGTTGAGGTGTTGACCGAGCCGGAGCTTGGCATTGAGCAGAGCTTGTCTATAGACCCCGATCCATATACGTCCGATCGGGCAATCACAGGCAATCGGGATTCGGGAGAAGAATATACCCTGATTTGGATGGCCAATGGCCATCAAGGCCGGACGCGCTCTGCCCCTTTAACCCTCGCCCCGTTGGGGGGGGGGGGCAATATGGCCCCCCCCCCCCTGTGGTTTTTCCTGAATAGCAAGAAAACGGCAAATTTTCAGTACCTTCCCGGGCATCAATTTGACACCTTCACACAAAATTTCAAGTCTTAGGTCACCTTAGGTCAGGAGTTATTGAGGTCAAACTGAGGTCATGTTCGAGCAAAAATGAGCAAAAAACATGCAATCTTGAAACGCTCACCAAATCTACAGTTATCAAGCAATTTCAAAGTTCTTTATATGGTCTAGTAGACAAAAAGCGGCGCTACAAAACAGTTATCTCGGATTTTCAAAATTTTTGGTTTTGACCCCCAAAAATTCAAAAAAATTGATTTTTTTGGAAAAACTAAAAAAAATCCAAATTTTTCCCGAATTTCGAAAAAAACCCGGAATATATGTGATAGTCCTTGCGCTCATCTATATACATACCTACCAAATTTCAGATCGATATCTCGTTTTTTGGCCAAGTTATAGCGAAAAATTGTTCAAAAATGATTACGTCAAATTTTTGAACTCAATTTTTGGCGATTCTAGACGGCGTAGGGCAAAACAAAGACCACCATTGAACTCCCCGTGACGCTGCATCGATTCGATACCCATTTTATGCAAAAATATCAACTTTGAAATTTGACCTAATTTGACCAAACCTTGACCTGACCTTGACCTGACCTTGACCAAAACGTGACCTAAGCTGGCCCCAAAGGCTGCCTGACCCACATAATCGCATTTGTCATGTAAAATGGACCATAAAACATGTATCACACGACACTTTCATATTGTGACCCCCCAGTGACCTGACCTCTGTGACCTGACCTGGTATCAGTGACCTCAAAGAGCAAAATATGTGTTTGAAGAACATTTCCCCATCGATGATTTTCAATGAAATGCATTTTACTCGATTTTACAACGCATTTCTTTAAATGCCTGTAAACGGTGAAAATCATCGACCTTTGACCTGACCTGTGACGTCATCGGTTTGACCTAGGTCAATAAAATTGGGTCACAAGGTAGTTCCCTGATAGGGCTATCCAACACCGTTTGCCGCTTGTCGCTAGGTTGCGTGGTTCTCGAGATCTTAGGGGGGGGGGCAAATTGCCCCCCCCCCCCAACAGCGTTGCTCGGCAGAGCCCAACGGGGTGCGGGTTAACCCTCGCCGGCCGAGGGGGGGGGGGGCAGGTGCCGCCCCCCATAGGGTTTTTTTTCGCGATAGCTCCGAGCACGCTGGCGATAGAAAGCTGAAACTTGGCATACCTGACCTTTGATTCAAGCCGGATCTTTTGCCACCAACCGCATTTACGTCATAAGTGAACCTCTGCACGGTCTTCAGATGTCGCAACTTCGCAACGCCCTCACTGCCAGAGGAACTTTCATATGGAAATGAAACTTGCAGGGTCTAGTATCCATTACGAGTCTCACAACTTGTATTCTCGGATTTTTCCTAAAGGTCATATGAGGTCAGGTCATTTTCGTGACCTCACCATTATAAGTCAATGGGGAAAAATGAAAACTGCTAATCTGGCGCCGGGAACGATCTCCAACTATCTCAAGCACACAGAATCGTGATTTGATGCACTCATTGCAAGGTTAGATGCGTCATATTTGCAATGTTGACCTTGCGTGACGTCATTTATGATGTCATCAAGGTCATATTAGTTTTTCGTCAATAACTCCCGATCAAATTGAGCTAGTGAGTCGGGAAAGCCACCAATGGACTCAGGAAGACCTGTCGAATCGAATGATATGCGACATGACCTCTTTCGACCAACTTCGTGACCTGGGGGCGCTGACCTGACCTTGACCTGAGGTCAACACCCTAAGTTGACTTGACCCAAACAAAAAGTATATCATTCGACGCGCCTGAGCGAGGCGAACACGATGCTGCCAAAATCGGCGCTCTGCGGCCGTTTTTTGCGAAGTTATTTACCAAAAACTGAACCGTACCCTGGGGCTTTTGACCTGACCGCAGAGGTCACCGGTTGACCTAGGACCTTAAAATCGGGTACCAATTTCTGCGTCTCGTAACGGCGCACACGCTCGCTTTTTCCGCGACGCGCTAGCCCCACCAGGGGCGAAACGGCGAGGGGGGGGGGGGGGTGTCGTACCCGTCCCCCCCCCCCTCGGCCGGCGCGTATGTAGAAAACCAATAGGTCCGGCGAAGGTTAAACTTACTTCAATTCGGCACTCACCGTGGCTTCCTCCACCAGCCACAGACCATTTCCGTTAGAAAGGTGCACATTTGACTTTTGAGCGCCGGAGCGACTTAAACCCGGGTTCTCTTCACACTATATAGTCACTACCGGAAGTCCGATACTCTACCCACCGGCAACCAACTGAGCTTCGGAGTTCGGAACGGACATGAATGGAAACGTTGATAACTGATGCGAGCTCCAGTGATTCTGAAAATGTATTGTCTGGTCGGTCATAAAACAAGGTATATCCAACACCGGGCTGGTTAGATGAAAGTTTTAAAATTTTAACCTTTTCAGGCACCATGGAGGATGAAGTAATCGATGACTACCGGATCCTATGGTTATGCGAAATATCCAAAGCGCTCTTCGAAAGCATTGATGACCAGCCGAATGACGGCTCCGGCGCGGCTCCGACAATCAAATCTGATTTGTCCGTTTCAGCAGACGGAAACACGGTAAGCACTTGCTTTATTTTTCTTCTTAGCGAGCTCTATAGGTACCTACTGGGTGAATGCAAATAAAATGTTGTCATTTCATTTTTTTTTGTATCTCTTATTTGATTCTCAGGTTGACCTCTTCGAGCGCCCCAGTCATGAGGAGATGTTTGAAGCAATGTTGGTTCGGGATGAGGGTGCCGTGCGTCGGGCCTTGGACTGCTTTTTGGATCGGCCCATATCGTCACAGCCCGGCCACTCGATCATGCTCTACAAGGAGATCGAACATCGAGAAGAAACACTGGAGGTGCAGCTTGAGCCCCAAGGTGTGATTATGGTAAAAGGCTACAGTGAAAAGTATATGTATTTTTCGTATTTGTGGACATTACCAGTGTTAGTTTGGTCGTTCACTGTTGTTCTGTTTGGTTAGACGAGCCTGGAGCTACGGCCGGGGACCAGCAGACCGAGACTGTGGGAAAGACCGCCTCGGCCGTCACCGCCAAGTCCCGGTCCGCTCTGCCAGAGGAGCCGGCCACAGGTACGGGTCGTCAATCAACATACTGCGTGCAGGAACGATGTGAATAATCAAATGTGATGCAGTGTGTTTTTGTGCTTATGACCAGTGCTTTGATAACCCAAATGGAGGTGGATGTAGCTTGCAACGGTCCCGTTTCATCTGCAGCCGTGGAAATTGCCGAGCGCATGTCCGTTTCGTCGGCGGCTTCTCAGGGTTCGTCGGCAGACAAGCAGAAGACGCCGTCTGAAATGGACTCCAATCAGCAGTCACCCACTCCTCCCCGCACGGTAAGAATCGAATCGTATAATGCTGTCGATGAGGACACTTATTTGCCTTGGGTGTTAGTACGGGGGGGGGGGAGGGGGGTAAGGGTGGGGGTTAAAGAATTGCACATGTAATACCGTTGTCCAAATCCGTTAGTGGATTTCAGAAGAAGTTGATATAAAATGTGACACGGACTCAGTGCAACCGCTTCTTTTTGAGACATGATAAACAGATCGTTATTTTCGAACATCGTATAACGGATTCCGCAGCGTTATTTTGTCATTGAGCTTAGGCGTGCTTGTGTTACTTTTTTATTTGATTAATAAATGAATGCTTCGACTGCATCCTTCGTGTTGCCTGATACTACATTGATGTTATGCTTCTTTACAGAAATGCATTGTGAAACGGATCACAAGACCGTCGATAAAAATGGCGACGAAAATATCTCCCGAAGTTCTTCCTGAAGGCGTAAGCTAATGGCATGCTTTTTCTCAGTAGCGGTGGAACACTTTAAATTAAGGGGGGCGGGGGGGGGCACTGCCGACTTTTGGTCCCATTCGTTCCATGCAACGCCCATAGGGCTAATGTTAAAATGCAAAAATCAAAGGGGGGCACGCCGTGCCCCGGTGCCCTCCCCGTTCCGCCGCCTATGCTTTTTCTTGCATACGTTTAGGCTCTCCGGGCTGACGAGCCCTTTGCAGAGCCGTAAGGATGATAGGCATTAGTGGGTAAGTCAACCAGCCCCGCAAATGGTTACTCCACCGCTCCTATGCCTGCTCCTTACGAGCTTCTCGCGTCGGATGAAGGTGACCGTCCAGTCCAGATCAGCGGCGTGGAGGAAAAGTATTTGGCGGTCCTGAGGATGGAAAATAACGGAACGATGGGGCGGTGAAATCACATAATAACACTGTTGAAATTTCCTGTAACCCTGCCGTTCAAGGACAAAAAGATTATCATTCGGTGACCTCTGACCTGACGTAATGACCTCTGACCCGACGTAATCGTTCCTGCCTTTGCACGGCAAACTAGGGTTAAGCAGTATCATTTTTCTGTGTCACTTCGAATTACTGACGTCTGTTGATTATCCATGTTATAGGGAAACAGTTTATAATAAAGCAATCCAAGATCTGCCGAACACCACGAAGGGTATTTGTGTCGGCTATATGATCCGTACCGGCGCGGTGGGGCGATTCCCGTTTAGGAAGCGGCGTTGAAACACGATCCTCAGGACAGCCGACGCACCCTCCCCCTCCCCCTCCCCACCGTCAGGCGTCTGGGGCAGTGGTGTTCAGTCGGCGCACGCCGAACAACGTGCCCGAGCCGCACGACGCCGAGACGATGCGCAGCGCCATGCCGCAGCACTTTGAGTTCTGCACCATGGACAAGCTGGCGCTGGACGATCTGGACGCCACGCTGGCGCAGGTTAGTGACTGCTTCGGGAAGTGAGGGACGTTTAGTGATTGATCGTCGTCAAGTTGGTCGGGAGGTGTGCCACAACTGTGACAGTGCTGATCGGATATCGTGCCGTTGTGATCGTGGTGCGTGTTATCTGCCCGGTGAGCAGCAGCCCGTCTGTGTGCGCCGCAGCGGTTCCTGCCAGTGCTGCAGACTCGGGAGGGCAGTGACTCCGATACCTCCGTGCCGACGGTCCCGGAGGCAGCAGCCGGCGCCGGCGGCGACTCGGCCCCGGGCGCCGTCGGAGCGCGGCCCATCACGGCCACACCAGTGACTCGACGCACCTCAATACGGCTCCAGCTCAGAGACGAGTTCATCATCAACCTGCATAAGATCATCTCCGGAGTGAAAAGGTGAGTTCCAGGGGCGGGGGGGGGGGGGGGCAAACGTGATGGCGATCGTTCTTGCATGCGGAGCGGCGTTGGGCCTGACCGGATGATCGATCAATCAGCACGTGTCTTTTAATTCAACGAATAATTGAATGCCCATATTTTTCTTCAGTAATTGATGTTTTACCAAGCCGTATCTCACTGTCCCCACAGAAAGTTTAATGCGACCTGCACTCAACGTTTTACCATTTTTCCGCATAAAACGTGCATTGCCCGTCGTAAGGTAAACTAAATACCGAAGCATAGATCGCACTGTTGCAGCGATACCCTCGTTGGCTGGAGACGAAGCTTTTGCTGAAATCCAAAGCATCCCATTTTTAAACGATTGCGTGTTTCTAACATTACGATAATCTGAAGAGTGTCATTTGACTTGAGTTCAGACGAGAAAACTTCAGGTTTCTATTTTTATTTATGAATTCGATAAATAACGACGATAGGATGACGCGAACTCGTACACCCGTCATCGGTGTAGAGAGCAACGATTGCATGTGTCGAGGGGACGCAGGACGAGTTCTAGATCTTGTTGCGGATTTTCTTAGTTAAAGGGACAGTATCATCGAAAAAAAAATCAATGTATGGAGCTGATTTTTTTTTTACTAGCATTTCTTATTTTTCTGAATCAGAAAAACATAGTTTGAGGACCGAACTCGGTGAAAAATATTTTTCACGAGCGAGTCATTTTCATGAGCGAACCACCACTACAAGCATGGCCGCCACTTTGGAAGCCTGCGAAATTACTACAGAACTGGCGCAGATAATACATTATTGACGCTACGCTTACGCGGCCGCTCTTCTGATTGAGTTGTCGTTGAGATCGAGACTGATCAGCTGACGTCATACATATACGTCATACATTGGAGGGAGATTGTGATTCAAGCTGGAGGAATTCCTTTGTTGAGCCGCTAGAATCCGAAGGAAACAGCGGAAATTGCCTACGACTATTTAATGAATTTAACGGTGATGAATAAGTGCGAAAAACGTTTTGGCTTTATAAAATTTGATGAAATGACCAGGGTAAAAGTTTTATTACTGGCGGTCAATTAACGGCGCAAACATTTAAACAGTGAAGATAGTGAAGCACGATTCAAAGTGTAGTACACCTTTCGTACTTTGAGCGGCGATAGCTGGATAACGGTGTGGAGCTTCGAGGATCGGTCTTCAGTTCCCGGACCAGAAAGGTGGGGCCTATGCAATGTCAAATTTCATCAAAATGGTGATACTGTCCCTTTAATTACCGGTCTTTACTTCAGAGACCTCGATTTTGGTTTGTGTGCGGACATCTATTGACACAAAGCAAACCTCGTTTTTTTTGCTTTTTTATTTTATTTTTGTCGATGGTAATTCGTTCCTCATCTTCTGAGACCTCTCCTTCGGTTTGTGTGCGGGGTGCGCCAGGACGCGTGAGCAGCTGAGCACGCGGTTTTTCCTGGAGCTGCCGGAGCTGCCGCTGCTGGAGGCGAGCTCGGACGACCAGCAGCAGCTGTCGGCACTGGCCGAGGACCGCCAGCTGCTGGCCGTCATCGAGGAGACGCTGGCCACCTGGCAGCAGGACATGGCCAGAAACCTGGACGGCATGATCAACAGGGTCAGTGATCAGCGGCTCAACGGCTAGCGCCCACGAGTATGAGTCCGATAGTCATGTCGGACAGGTGAACTGCGATTGGCAAAGGGGTATTTTGTTGGAATCCAGAACGATAATCGACATGGCGATGTTCGGGTTGTGATCAGTCACTCTGAAAGACTGCAAGACGTCTTGCACGTCACGTAAAATACTGCGATTTCGATTGCAGTCATTCAGTATTTTCAGTATTTGAAATGAAATGAGCAAGGAGCATGCCTTGTGCTCGGCTGCGTGGTTATGTTACGTCCCATTATGTTATTTGACTGAGCAGAAGCCGTCCTCGAACGGGTGTATGGCCGAGCTGGACCTGTGGAGGGAGAAGTACTCGGAGCTCTCCTCGCTCGTGGAACAGTTCAAGCTGCCCACAGGTCAGTTTCACTGCTTAAAGCCTGTGGACCAAACACTCATTAAGATATTGTGACGCCGTTATTGATTTGGTTCGATAGCTGTGCCTTTGAGTTATTGACGTTTTTCACCAGCCAGCACTGAAATATATCTATAAACAGTGTCTGTATAACTCTGTCTGGCAGTGATGAAAATGGTGCGTCTTCTGGAGATGGTGGACTCTAGCGTCATTCAGGGGTTCCACATGCAGGTGGACGACGTGCACCGCTGCTACCGCGAGGCCTACGACAACGTCCGCTTCCTGGCCACGCTGGAGAGACACTTCAGGGTGAGACTCGCAGCGCTAGTTGCAGCCGCTGAATATTTGCGGTAAAGTAGGGACAAGTTACACAGCCAGTGCCGGCTCGACGCTACATGTTCTCATATTGCTCGGGCGGCTGGCCTGGAGTTGTTGGTGGTCGGGCGTTGACTCCCCACGGGGCGTCCTCTCAGACGGTGCGCAGCCACCCGTCGCTGTCGGTGGTGGCCGACGCGCTGCCCCAGGTGATGGACAGCCTGCGCATGGTGTGGATCCTCTCGCGCCACTACAACCGCGACCACCGGATGGCGCCGCTGATGGAGCGGCTCGCCTGGGAGCTGGTCACCCGCGTCCGCAGCGCCATCTCCATCAAATCACTCTTCAGGTAATGGGCGACCGCTATATCGACACCTTTTTTTTAAACCCCACATTTGTTCTCCGGTGAATTTCAGACAAGTTGGTTAGAGACCTTCAAAAAAGGTACAATCACTCGATTTTTCTCAAGTTTGTCTGTCTTGGCAGATAAAGCAATACCAGAACAGGCCTACGAACACACATATTTGATCAGGATCGGACGATTGGACACTTTTAAAAGGAGATCTTTCGTGCCTCCTGGAAATTCACGGGAGAGCAGATGTGGGGTTTAAAAAAAAGGTGTCGATATAAGCCTTCTCTTCATCATTGGTTTTACCTATATCGGTTTTGAACTTCATGAGTTGTGTGTGTGTTTTTTATATTACCGTGTGCGGTCAGCAGCCCGCTGTGTAGCGCTTTATGTACGATTCGTCCGACTATGTGACCGTATTCGGGTGGTGTGCGCGCTGGGTGGACAGACAGCCGCCGCGCAAGGTGCAGGAGCTGGCCGCGTCGGCGGTGCGCCTGCTGAGCCGCTGGCGCGAGTCGTACCTGGCCACGCGCGCCGAGATCGAGACGTCCGGCCGCGGCGCGCGCTGGGAGTTCGACCGGCGCCGTCTTTTCGACGACACGGACCACATGGCCATCATCTGCAAGGACCTCCAGCATGTCGCCGTCGTAAGTGGCCAGAGGCAGCCGTTGCGAGATACGTGCTCATGTCTAAAGAAACTTTGTAAAATTGGTTTGTGGTCGGGAGTATTTTAAATGACTGAAGCTTTTTTAATGATCGGCTTCGATTTTTTTTTAATTAAGGTCTGACCAGATCACCGTATAAAGGCGCGGCCGTGTTGTGTCAGTTATCTTTCGGTGCAGTTCGTGAGTTTTTATCTTTTTGTAGTGTTGAGATTGAGGGTCGAACTTCGTCGTGTTGTGGTTCGCACCCATGTTTGGCTTTGCTGATTACTTATCAAATATTCCGTCCTGTGATATTTATGCGCGGCTGCTCAGGTGTTGGAGGAGTTCAACAACATCTTGTGCCCGGACCTGCGGGCGGTGACCTCCGATCCCCACCGTATGGACGATGTCAAACAGCGCGTCAAGAACCTGGTGGTGCCGTTCGAGGCAGTGGCGTTCGACATATTCAGTACCAGGTGCGGCAGCACAACAGCGGGTGAAAGCGAAATTACACACAATAAAAATATGTTGGTGACTGATGTTTTTTATGAGACCATGCGCTCAGCGCTGGCACAACCTTCCGTCCCTCAGCAAGCAACTGATGTGTTTTGGGTGTCATACTCTTTGTTATCTGCTCCGCAGGCTGCATCACATGTGGCAGGGAGTGATGGACCGGTTCGGTACCGAGGTGCTGCGAATCGAGTCAGAGGCCAAGAAATTCCTTGACGAAAGCTTCAGAGCTCTCAGGTAAGAATACATTGCCCTTAATAGACCACCCTACGATCGTTGTGAATTTTAAAAGCGCGATGATTTGAGTTACCGAAAAAATCGTGCGTGTCGGAACCGCTGTTTATTTCCGAAACAATGTTATAGAGGTCGGAGACTGGGCAGACCTTTCTTTTTATTCTCGTAGAAGACCAATTACCAATGAAATGACGATTTCCTCCGGAATTTTCTGAAGGTTTCGGAACTATTTTAACCGCGCTGACGTGTCTCGGCTCCTGCTATTAACACGCCAATTGGTTGGGTCGACATCGCCAGGTCCTCGGAGGCGGCGTTCGACGTGGTGCGGAAGTTTGAGCACGTCAAGTCGCGTCAGTCGATCAACAACGAGCTGCGTCGCAAGTACAGCGACATCCTGAACCAGTACAAACGGGAGGTGGACGAGGTGGCCAAAATGTTCGACGTGAGTGCAATTTAAACATATCTTTAAATTGAACGAATGGCAAAGAGCTGTGATGGTTATTTTATGGCGAAGATGGTTTTGATTTTTGATTCGTTGTTCTTATCACTTGCGCGCCGTTTTATTTCAAGGCACGATAGTTATTGACTGTGTTTCGGGAAAATTGTCAAAATCACGATGGGGTTCGATCGGCAGGAGAACAAGGACGACCCTCCGCTGCACAAGAACCACCCGGCCGTCTCGGGGGCCATCCACTGGGAGCGCCTGCTCTTCCTCAAAATCAAACGCAACATCGTCAAGTTTCTCAAGTGCCCCGCCATGATGGACACCGAAATGGGACAGGCGGTAAGGTCTAAGGATAAGTCGAATTGATCGACAACGTATTGCATATACTGCACCTTTTTTATGCGTGGTGTCGTTGAAGTTTTGATTTTATTTATTTATTTGTCGGTAAAATATATGGCTATAGTACGACGGAATACTGACGGCAGAGTCGCGCAGCGTAGATCATTCTGTCAGGCTGGCTGTTCACGGGCACCGTGCGATGCAGGCGAAGGCGCACTACCTGACGGTGGGCCGCCGTATGAAGGCCTACGAGGACCAGTTGTACGCCTCCTGGCGCGAGCGTATCGACCACATGCTGCCGCAGCTGCTCCGCAAAACGGTGCTGGCTGAGACCGGACGGTCGCCCTGCAAGAGTGGTAAGACACAGCCTATCTTCCGTCCGTATGCTATGCCTGAAAATCGGTAGCGTTAATTTCACGCTGTCAGGACTTAAAAATAATCTTATGGTTAAATCGTGTTGCTTAAGTTACTGAACGACATGAAATATTGACGTGTTTATTCCATTCAGTGATATTTCTAGAGAAAATACGATGAAAAACGAGATGCATAGTTACTGAACGACATGAAAATATTGACGTGTTCATTCCGTTCGGTGATATTTCTAGAGAAAATACGATGAAAAACGAGATGCATAGTTACTGAACGACATGAAAATATTGACGTGTTCATTCCGTTCGATGATATTTCTAGAGAAAATACGGTGAAAAACGAGACGCATCATCACTTAATAAAGCTGCCCACTGCGTTCGCCATTTCACTCGCACTGTTCAAACGCACTGTTGTCTCTCGGCGGCAGCGCTGCGCGGCGCCACGCCGTCGTCTCGCACGTCTCCGTTCTCTGTTAACGTGCCGTATGAGCTGCTGGAGATAATCGCCGACTCGAAGCACCTGGAGGTGCTGGGCTTCCACCTGCCCGAGCTGGCGCGCAACGTGGCGCTCCAGGAGGACCGCTACCGGCGACACAGCGTCAACCTGGCGGCCATGATCGACAGGTTCAACGGCGTGCTCGGCTGCATGACAGACCCCGAGGTCAGAATGATAGAGGACGGAGCGGGACACGGGAGAGCATGAGGGGAGTGGAGACATGGACAGTCTGAGGGCGGACTGGAGAGAACAGGCCAGGCAGGTAGTGGAGTACAGAGAGCTTGAGGGGGAGAGGACTGGGCGGAAGGGGGGGGGGGGCAAAGGCATGGTGGATGGGGAGAGCGGGGTGGAGTGTTGAGTAGAATGAGCTGAACGGTTAACATGACGATGACGAAAAAGGAAATGCTTGGAAGGACACATTTGTTGATGAAAATTGTGTACGCTGGCGTACAGCTGTTTGATTGACGCTTCGCTGCTTATTTACCTCTCACGTAGGATCAGGTTTCCGGTGAAAATAAATTGCAGGAATATTTTTGATGTGACGCATATGAAGGTGAGCAGCTGCTAACGGACGAATCTGACCGCAGATGGAGCTACTGAAGGAGGACGTCCGCTCCGTGGAGCGGATCCTGCGCCCGGCCACGAAGCGGATCAACTGGAGCGCGCTGAGCGTCGGTGACTTCTGCACCAAGTGTAACAGCGCCATCGGCGTGTTCGAGTCGCTGGTACACCAGGTGAGGGCTCCGGCGTCAGGTCTCTATGAGGTGTCCAGTTATGAACGGATAAATGTGACAAATGGGTTCGTTGTATTTCAGGTGCAAAAGAACGCGAGAGACATGGAGCGACAGATCTCCAGTCTAAGCAACATGGATCTGTTCACCGGACCGACAACGACAGAGCTTCTTCCTTGCAAGGTGGGCGGTGCTGGGTATATAATCATCACTCAGCTACTGATTTCTGCGTATGTCCTAGAGTAAGCCCGACTCCGATATCATTTCAGCTTACATGGATTTATCAGTGGGATTGACTGATCAGGACGTTCGCTGACTAAGGTTGCAAGACTAACCCGCGCGGGGCTGGGGGGGGGGGTAAATATTACCCCCCCTCGCGAATTTTTGCAATATCTCAAAAACGGCGGCGCGCAGCGCCGCCAAACTTTCAGTACCTTTTCTTACATCAATTTGACACGTTCCCTGAAAATTTGAGCGAAATCCGTCGGAAAATTTTTGAGAAATTGACGTTTTAGTGACGTCATGTTCGCCATTTTCGCCTCAAAAACGGCAAAAGTTCAAACGCCGCTAACATCTTCATTTTTAAAGTAATCAAGACGTAACAAAAAAGGATATACGTAATTCTACTTTGTCTATCAAATGGCTATCTCGGTTTTTTGAAAATTTTGGATTTTGGCCCAAATTTTTTCAAAAAACTGACTTTTGTAGGAAAATAGCTATAAAATCCAAAATTTTGAGTGTATCAAAAAAACCGGAATATATGTCAGAGAAGTGGTCTATGTGCACCTACATACCAAGTTTTAGAAGAATCGGTTCAAAAATGTGGGAGTTATTCAAAATTGTATGACGTCACGACACACAAAAATTTTGAAAAATGACTTTTTTGAAGTTCTAGACCTCGTACGGAAACAAAAATAGCACCATTCGATTCGCCGTGAAAAACTGCATCAGATAGACACCTTTTTAGGCCTTAACAACCAACTTCAAAATTTGACCTCACTTGACCTGACCTTGACCTGACCTCGACCTGAAATTCATCCAGAGGTGGTCCATATCACTTATTGAGTGTGCCTATTGAATTCTATGAGTAAAATGACCCATAAAACATGTGTCGCACATGCCCTTTTCTATATTTTGTTTTTGGTGACCTGACCTGACCTGACCTGACCTTGACCTTGACCTCTGAATGATATTGTATGCAACGAATATTGTCTTGGTAGCCTAAGAACACGTTTTGGGCGATCAGTCTCAGTCCATGACTCCATTCTTCGGCAACTACGGTGCAAGGCCGATACTGTAGGAACTTGCAATTTGTACCCTTGATCTGACCTTGACCTTGACCTCAAACTTAAAATTAAGTACATGTTTTTAGTTGTTCGTGATGAGATCTTTCGATTGGCGTTTGAATTTTCCAAATCGGACCATTAGTTCGGGAGATAACAGGGGGGTAAAATTTACCCCCCCCCCCCCCCAGCCCCGCGCGTTCGGCTGGAGACCCCAGCCCCGCGCGGGCTAAGGCTGCAAAGTTAATTTGTACTTCTTAGCAGCCGCGACTGGAGCTCGGCTTGGCGCGATATTTATCTGTACCGTGCCACCCTTCCGCCTACTGTTGTATTTACCACTGGCCGTACCGTAGTGTAATTGTTCTCTGTTCTCGTCCACAGGAGTTCTTCAGCTGCGTGGAGCTGCGGCGGGCTCACGACATTGAGCGGCTGGCCAGAAAGTACCAGAGTATCGGGCCGCAGCTGATCAAGGTCGAGGGGCTGGTGGTACACACCAACACGGGCCGAAACCCGCGGCTCTACAAGTACTACTCGCACTGGGAGCGGCAGTGCTTCGTCGCCTGCACCAAGTAAGGAGCAATGAGTGTTGTTTGTTTTTGTTTGTTTTGTTGGGTCTGACAAGACCCAACAAGTTGACAAGTTTGTTTTGTTGGGTCTGGTTTGTTGGGTCCCTTTCGGTCTGACAAGACCATTTCAGAACCGGAAGGATGATAGGAATTAGGGGAAGACATTGGTCTGGGCAGGCACCATAGAGAGTCGCCGGGGCTGAGCCCGTCCAAATGGACAGGCCGACCAGCCCCCAAGCACTCTCTGCACCCGGCTACGGGGTGCGCTCCCTCGGGAGCAGCGGTGCCGCTCCAAGGGAGCAGCCCGGATGAGACAAAGTCGCCTGTCCAGCCCGGAGGGGGTTGCGGCGTGGAGCAGGAGGATTTCAGTATCCTGAGGATAGAAGCACGGAACGGTGAAAATGAGTGTTGTGCCGCTTAAGCTTCGGGAATCTGTTTGCAGTCACACGTGCTCAGACTTATGCTTATGCCAGTTATCACACCTCATGACATCGGTTTGTGTCTGGCTGTGACTTGTTTGACCGTCCCCGCAGTCTGATCCTGCTGAACCTGCGTCAGTTCCTGACCCGGCTGAACCGGGACACGCCGCTGTTCCTAGTGAACATGCTGCTGGCCACGCCGGACGTGGTCGTCAGCCCGCTCACCAACGACATCTACAAGATGATCATGAACTCGGTCCGAGACTGCATCGAATCGTAAGTAATTATTGGCTACCTCCCGATGCTGCTGTGTGTTTCGGCCACTTTTAGACCTTTCGCTATCGATTTAACGTCTGCATAAAACCGCCGACAATCTGTTTGTTCCAGGACGAAGCACTTTGTGCGGTGGCAGCGCGGCTCGTGCCTGGAGTGTCCGCCGATCAAGATGGGCGACAATTCGAACGACGCATTCGTCTACAGCTTCTTCCAGGACATCAGCTGCGACCCGCGGGTGATTGATCTGGTGCTGGAGATCCAGAACACGGTGCAAAACCTGCTGGCCCGCGTCCAGAAGAGCATCCAGCTGTGAGTGCGGCTCGAGCAGCTCCCGTCCGAAATATGGAACCGATTCACGATACTTCCAAGGATTCTAGCAGGCAATTTGGTGCAAATACCTCGATAAAAAGTGAGATAGAACGTCATTTTCTCTGGCCTTATGTCGTAAACGTATTTTTGACACCTCATCGGCCTACATCTGACGCTGCTTTTTGCGTTTTCTTATCGCAGGCAAGTGCTCATTTTCCGGCATTGGTCTGGTACAGAACGCTGCCCCATTCTCGAAAATTTCAGCAAAAGTGTTGTACTAACGCCGTATTGATGTGTACTCTGACGTTTTACCTTGCTGACGTATGCCTGGACGGGGCAGCTGGCGCCGCTACCGCAACCTGTGGAAGTACGACAAGCAGCAGACGTGCGAGAAATTCGTGTCTCGCCAGCCGTCGCTGGTGGCCTGGGACGACAAGTTCCTCTTCTACAAACACATCTTGGAGGACGTCAACACCACCGCCGCCCAGATGGACGCCCAGAGCATACGGTGGGTGCGGATTGTACCGATATTTATTGTCCTTGGCGTATGTAATTGTGTAACGGTTTTGACGTTTTTATTCGTAGAGTGCCGCTTGTGACTTAACGTGTGTTACTTTTGTGCGATAATCTGACCAGTTGACCCGTCCCTTACCTCGATAAAGTTCAGCTGATACAATCGGCTAGCGTCTTATCGGATGCCAAATGAGATGTTGATTGTGTCTTATTTTCAGACTGCGCGTGGATGACCTGACCTCGGCTGTGAAGGGTCACATCCAGGGCTGGATAGACGTTCTGGGCGAACTGCTGCACGCTATTGCCAAAGAGGACTTGAACAACCTCTGCGAACTGTTTGAGGTGAGTATACTAATTGATGTCGCAATGCACACAGGCTGTAGCAGAAGTATTGACCGTGCATTTCTCAGGCGTCCTGATCTTTGGGTTTCTTAATAATGCGTGTACGAGCGACTTCATTGACGCCGGTGTGTTATCGATGCAGTACGTCCTGCAGACGCATTGCGGATTGTGTTTTAAGCGCATTGTTTGCATGATAGTCTTTGGAAATGCACATTCCTGAAGAAAACTGCGTGTGGCCTGTGTATGATTGTTTACGACCGTCTGTTGCGTTATTGCAGGACAAGCACTACGACCTGAGCCGTGCGCCGGCCACCCAGGAGGACATCAAGTTCCTGCTGGCCACCATCGCCGACGTGCAGGCCATGTCGCTGGACGTGGAGCTCAAGATGGTGCAGATCAAGGAGCAGTACCGCATGCTCAGCGTCCACGGCGTGCCGGTGCGTCTGTAGGATTGGTCGTACTATTACTGCAGTGAGTGTAGTCGGGATTTACGGAATGTGTGATTGTGTGTCTTACAGGTGTACTGTGCCTGTGACCTCTGTCTGTGTGTTCTGCTGCGTGCCAGGTTCCGGAGGCCGAGGTGGAGACTCACACGGGCATCAACCGTCTCTGGGACGAACTGCTGCTCAGGGCAAAGGTCACCAACGCCAGACTGGGGCCGGTCAAACAGAGGCGAGTGAACAATTCACCGGTCATAACTGCTCGCTAATAATTGTGTTCCCACGCATTCGTGTTTGTTGGATCGCACTGTCAAAAGGTTTTTGAAACGGGCTGAGATGACTGCCTTTCAGACCGCGCCGATGTTAACAATCAATGGCCGTGACGATATATTATCCTGACTTTTTTTTTTGTCGCCAGGTTTACGGTTATCACGCAGGGTGAGGTGTCTGATTTCCACGTTCAGATAGCCGAGTTCCGCGCCCGGTACGACTCAGAGGGGCCCGGCACCGTCGGGGACCAGTTCGACCTCGGCGAACAAAAGATGAAGGTGAGACCTTTGTAAAAAGAAAAATGATATGACACAATGTAATTGTGCTCAGGTATTCAAAGATCTTAATGATCTTGTGATCTTGATTTCCTGTATTCTCTGGTATGTGCGACTGGGAGTTTTATTTGACTCTGACCGTTTCAGAGTTACGAGGAGGAGCTGGAGACGCTGGTGGAGCGACAGCAGGAGCTGGTCCAGTCGGAGCGGCTCTTTGACCTGGACATCACCGCCTACCCGGAGCTCAACACCATACAAAAGGACATGGCCGGCATGCGGCTCATCTACGACATCTACCTGGCCCAAAAGGTACGGTGGCGGCCCTGCTATACTGAGACATGTAGGGAAATTTATTCATAGTTACACCTAGCTTTCTAACGTGATTTCATAAAGGATGCTAACCGTCTGTGATTTATCGTCATCCAGGAGGCCCGAGAGAAGTTGGCCCAGACACTGTGGGCGAACCTAAACGCCCAGGCGCTGACGGACGACATCGATACCTACATCAGGCAGTTCAAGAAGCTGCCCAAGGACGTGCGGCAGCTGACCGTCGGCAAGAACCTGGAGGAGAACATGAAGCAGTTCAAGGCGTCCGTGCCGCTGTTCGTCGACCTGAAGAACGAGGCCATCCGCGACCGGCACTGGCGCGAGCTCATGAAGAAGACTGGTGAGAATAATTCGCCTGGGCTTGTTACATGCCGATCGTGGCTGCATATCCGTTTCGTTGTTGTTTACGAACTCGCTGAAAATGATGTGATTTTTCCATGTTCATCAGCGTTATTCTATTGAACGGAATCTTGACCACTGACTATAAATCATACCATCATACCGTGGTGTTTTTTATTTGATTTTATTATGTTCAGTTTGGTAAGACCTTTACTACATGCTGACAGCTGGTTTGCTAGATGGCTTCTGTACTTACGGGTCGTTCCGTTCGGTTTCCTTGTCATTATGCCGCTTCAGGCAAGGAGTTCGAGATGGACCCGGAGACGTTCACGCTGGCGAACCTGTTTGCCATGGAGCTGAGCAACTACAGCGACGTCATCTCCGACATCGTCGGCGGCGCCATCAAGGAGCTCGGCATCGAGACCGGCGTCAAAGACGTCGCAGAGGTTAGTTTAACGAAGGGGAAGTCGATGCGAGACACGTGGGGACTAAGGCGTCAGTCTTATTACGCGTAGTTATAACTGAACAGGATGATGAAAGACAGCCGCGCGTTTTTTTTTTTTTTTTGTATGAACGGGCAAGCAGTCATGCTTGCAGTTGATTTTTCTTTGATAATTTCGCATATCGATCCCAGTTTAGCTCGATGCCACACTGACCCGTCGTTATGTTGGGCGCGCAGCAATGGGACGCGATGCGTTTCACCGTGCTGCCGTACACCAAGGACGGCGAGGAGCGCGGCTTCGTGCTGACCGCCGTGGACGAGGTGCTGCTGGCGCTCGACGACAGCACCATGAACCTGCAGAGCATGAGCGGATCGCGGTGAGACAGTTCTGTACGCTCAGTTCGATCAGCCGAGACCATATCCAATAGTTTATCTTTTGTGATGCTGCTGATATCCTGCAGACTGCAGCCAGTGACACGTGCCGCTGTTGGCAGGTTCGTGGGACCGTTCCTGCCCCAGATCCAGACCTGGGAGAAGACGCTGTCGGTGATCGCCGAGGTACTGGAGATCTGGCTGGTAGTGCAGAGGAAGTGGATCTACCTGGAGGCCATCTACCTGTCTCCCGACATCCGATCGCAGCTGCCCGAGGAGTCGCGCAAGTTTGACGCCATCAACAGCACCTACAGGAAGGTAATTGAAGGCAGAGGCAGGTGCTTAGGACCAAAATACATGTTTGACATTCGTCTAGCTCATCGGCTTAGATTATTGCGGAAAATGCCTTATAACTGCATCTTGAACAATTCACAGATGTCATGATTACCGAGCGGGCGATTACCGAGCGGGCATCGTAAATTTTGAGAGCTAAATGCAAGCTTCTTTTATTTTTCTTGTATAAATGTTCCCTTTTGTCCTTCGCACGCAGATTATGAACGAGGCCCACCGAGTGCCGATCATCAAGACGGCCTGCCTGGTGCCGAACCGCCTGCTGGACCTGGAGACGGTCTCCCAGGGACTGGAGAAGTGCCAGAAGTCACTCTCCGACTACCTGGACGCCAAGCGGAACGCCTTCCCTCGCTTCTTCTTCATCTCAGACGACGAGCTGCTGTCGATCCTGGGCAACAGCGACCCGCAGTGCATTCAGGAGCACATCATCAAGGTACGCGATGCTACAGCAGCTTGGCTGAGAGAATGAACAAGCGCCAGTGAACCGTTGACTTCAGCTGATAGGGTGGGTAATAAAGCAAGTAGATGCAGATTGATATACCTGTCAGTCAACTATCCGTTATCTGTGCGGATAGTTGACCATAAACAAGGTGGTAGCACGGAATATAAAGTCTACGACACTAAAGCATTAACATTTTTCGGGAAACGTTTTTCTGCGAAACTTTTTCATCAAGGTTGTACTGTCGATTTTATCAGCGACGCATTCCGCTCGTTGAGACGCGTCGAATGAAGTATAATCTCACCTCAAAAGACCGACTACAAAATCTGACCTAGGGTCGAGGTCGTGACCCTACCGGAAAAGGTCATGTGTCATAAATGTCGATTTGTGTCGTTTAACTGAATCCATCTAATGTCGTAGACTATATATTCCGTGGTGGTAGGATCGATATGCATCTGCAATTATCCGTGGGTTTTAGCTGCAGCCTTAAGTGATTGATTATGTGGCATTCATGCCGATAGATGTTCGACAATATCCTGTCCTTGCGGATGGTGAAGAACGCCGATGACGACCTGGTGGTGTCGGCCATGCACTCCGCAGAGGCTGAGGTCATGGAGTTCAGAGAGGCACAGGCGAGTGAATACTCTTTAGGATAAAGTTTGGTGAAACACGCGTTCCATTACGCATTCTTTCCATGTTATTTACGAATAAAGTGCGTAGAACGTTTGGTTACCTATTTTCTTTTGCTTCTTAGTTTGTTTGATTACCGTGTTGACAGGTGTTCAGCAATGTTTACGGAAGCATACGATATGCGACAGGTGGTGGATGGTCGCGTGGAGGATTGGATGAACGCTGTGATGGCCGAAATGTGGAGGACCAACCGGTTCCTCACCAAAAAGGCCATCTACGAGTACGCCAAAACAAGCAAATCCAGGTTTGTGAACAGGGTGTAGCGCCTGTGGCAGTTTGCATCATTGTGTTTGTTTAGTAACGTGAAATTGTCGTGGTACTTTGAAATGATAACATGTGATAACGTTTTGATAACGCGTGTGTCACAGGGCACAGTGGATGCTGGACTACCAGGGCATGATATGCCTGGCGGCCAACCAGGTCTGGTGGACGGCAGAGGTCGAGGAGGTCTTCAGGCTTGTGAAAAAGGTGACAGCCGAAAACGAATTCGTACAAGTAGCTAAAATGTATGTACATACGTGTCTGGTTTAATGTTCCCTTTATTATGCCCTCCTAGCTACAATGCGTTGAAATTTTCCGGTGTTGTATCGGAAATAGCAGTTGATTTGTTTTCTTGAAATCAAGCTCACCAAGATAAAACTACTTCGGGAAATACTCGAAAGGGCGCACGTGGATGTTTTTCTCATTTCTTTGGTAATCACCTGAGAACTTTTTATTTACACAGGGCAACAAGCGTGCTATGAAGGAATACCTGACGACTCTAAACAGACAATTGGACGAGTTGGTGTTGATCGTGCGCACTGACCTGACTCCGAACGAACGGAAAAAGATCAACACCGTGCTCATCATCGACGTGCACGCCAGGTGGGCTCAATATACTGACAACCCGGAAAGGATGAACCTATTGAAGTTGTCTGTCTAAATAATGGCGTGTTATGTCCGTATGAAGACTGTATATGGTATTATTTTGGGTAGGTACGTTAAGAATTTGTCAATATTTCGATATCGGTCGATCGATGATATTTATTGACCGCTAACACTGTTGTCGAATTACCTTTCAGGGACATCATCGACGCATTCGTGAGGGACAGCATCCTTGACCAAAGCGAGTTTGAATGGGAGAGCCAGCTCCGATTTTACTGGATGTGCGAGCCAGACAGTCTGGTGGTGCAACAGTGTACCGGTAAGGGCATATTGCCGCCGATTTACCGATGAAACCATAATTTCATTGACTCTTTAGATTTTTTATTTTTATTTTGCTGCGCTGCTTTCCCTGACAGCTTTCATGAGTAAGTGGAGTTATGCCTTTGTAGTTGAATACTTGACTGATAATGCTTGCGAACTGCTAAAAATCGCCTAATTTGTCCCGCGTTCTCCGTCAGGTCGGTTCGACTACGGCTACGAGTACATGGGTCTGAACGGACGTCTGGTGATAACTCCTCTGACGGACCGGATCTACCTGACCATCACACAGGCTCTGTCCATGAACCTGGGCGGCGCGCCGGCAGGTGGGTCCCGGCAGCAACTCACTGGCGTAGAATTAATTAGCTGTGGGATGCGCAATTGAATTATCAGGGTAGGTATTTCTTAAAAATCACACGTTGTAATTTTCACTTGGTAGTCTTTCGTCCGTGATTTTACCGGTTCTCACTGGCTTCTGTGATGTAATTTATTGCTGGTATCGAACTTTTAGTGGAGTTCACTCGAGAGCTAAATTTAGGGCATTAGAGTTGAATATATATCCGTAATGGTTTGTATGGGCTCATAGGTGCTACATCATTGGATGACATTGTATGTGCTCGTGCTTCCAGGACCAGCCGGTACTGGTAAAACGGAGACGACTAAGGATCTCGCCAAGGCGCTCGGCCTGCTTTGTATGGTCACCAACTGCGGAGAGGGAATGGACTTCCGCGCCGTCGGCAAAATTTTCTCCGGTAAATTAGCTGCAGATCAATATGTTGTATTCCCACACAGAGCACAGTTATACATTGCTGGTAATATGCGTGCGTGCCTGCATGGTGGAGAGAATGCCCGCGCTCCATGCTATTCCAACTATCGGTGTTTGCTCGCTTCTCAGGCCTGTGCCAGAGCGGTGCGTGGGGCTGCTTTGACGAGTTCAACCGTATCGAGATCTCTGTGATCTCCGTCATCTCCACGCAGCTGCAGACCATCCGGAACGCCCTCGTCAAAAAGCTGGCCACCTTCCACGTGAGTAACATATTTTTAGGCGATTCAACAAAGTCGGCTGGAGGATATGCCTTTATTATTATTTTTTATACTTAATATCACATGCGGCCTATCATGTGAATCTTTTTGAAATACTACGTCAATTAAAGAAACTTTCTTACAGCTCTATTGATAAATTATTAATAAATTGAATGTCGAACAATATCCGGGAAACTGGCAAGAGGAGATGCCTCAATGCGATGCTACTTTTTAGTACCACAGCGTTCTGCATGCTTTCACGCTAAATGACTCGGTTACCCTTGCGCCCCTGTTGCAGTTCGAGGGTCAGGAGATCAAGATGGACCCGAAGGTGGGCATGTTCATCACGATGAACCCCGGGTACGCGGGCCGCACCGAGCTGCCCGAGTCGGTGAAGGCGCTCTTCCGGCCGGTGGTGTGCATCGTGCCCGACCTGCAGATGATCTGCCTCATCATGCTCTTCTCCGAGGGGTTCCTCCAGGCCAAGGTCAGTTGTTTGATTACCGGCCACATGTTAAAGAAATACACATCAACTCTAGTGAATATAAACGCCTTTTATAAGCAGCTGCTTTGCTAATCTTGTCATTTTCAGGTGGCCGGGTTTATAATAGCCAACGTCGCCAGCGTGTTCGTGGATTTTACATAGACTGTTTACTTCGACAGACCTTGGCGAAGAAGATGACCGTTCTGTACAAGCTATCGAAGGAGCAGCTTTCGAAGCAGCATCACTACGATTTCGGCTTGCGTAACATCAAAGCTGTGCTCGTCCGCGCTGGAGAACTGAAAAGGATCACCCAGGACATGCCAGAGGACATGATTCTGATGAAGTCGCTCAAGTGAGACCAATAAACTTTGTTTTGTACACGAGGCTGCGAAATAATTTCCGCGTGTGGTAATTGATTACACCGTCGCTATAAAAAGAAGTAAGGTAGCCATTCCAATTAGTATCTGACTTCTGTGGCTTATATAGTGTGGCTCATATAGTGTGCCTCCACTTTCAGGGACATGAACTTTGCCCGGTTCACGTACGAGGACGCGCCGCTGTTCCTGGGACTGCTGAACGACCTGTTCCCGGGCGTCGAGTGTCCGCAGGAGACGGACGAGAAGCTCAGCACAGCCGTCGACAAGGCTATCGAAAACAAAAACTACACCAATCTGCCCAAGCAGGTCCATGCAGATCAGCACGCAATGAGTTATTGTCCATCGCCCATCACTTGAATGATCATTGTCGCCGTCTTATTTCTATATCGGCGTATTAATAACATGTTGTTTAACCCTATTAGTGGCAGGCTCCTGGCTACCCCTATTAGTGGCAGGGGGGGGGGCTGTTTACGACCCCCCCTTGATATCTCGAGATCTAACGGGCCGATTTTCAAAATTCAAACGGCATTCGATTTCGCTCAACGTGATCTACATTTCTAAAAAATAAAAATTAAAAATGTCAATAGGGGGGGGGGGTAGAGGGGGGTAAAAACGGGCAAATTGCAGATACATTTTAGACTGTTTATCACGGCCAAGTTTCTGAACCAATCTTAACGCAACTTTTGCCGATCGATAGAGAATGAACCAGGAATTCACATGGATCCTAAAAATATGCATTTTCAAAAATCATAGGCGGATACAGATCATTGAGATTGGGGGTACGCAAAAAGTATAGTAAATAAGGTTTTTGTTGGTACTGTTTCTAAAAAGGGTGGTAATGGTCTTGTTATGTTACAATTTTCTTATGAGAGAACGACTACAATTGTATTGGTCATGCATAGGCGGTGTCAGGGCACCTATGTTGGGAGGTAAAACATAACCCCCCTTTTTGGACGCCTGGATCCGCCTATTATAGCAAAAACGTGTCAAAAGAGGATGCACAATAACTGTATATGTTATCACATGATACCTTTCATTCACTGTTCGTAAAACTGGTGCAGCATCGTGATCTTCGCCCAAATGACTCGCTTCACGAATAGGACCCCCCAATTCCCAGTGCTCTGGAGCTGCCCCTGGTAAAGTTATGAACTTGAAATTTTCAGGGAATGTGCCCAATTTAGTTTTAGGAAAAGTCAGAAAATTTCAGCATCGTAGCTTCAGCGGTTTCGGAGATATTCCCGAAAAACCTGAGGGGTGGATGAAAACAACCCCCCCTGCCACTAATAGGGTTAAAATAGCTGATCGGCTTATTCTAATTTTTGCCCCCGTGCTTCCAACTAACTGGTATTCTCTATCATTTACACAGACGGAGAAGGTCATCCAGATGTACGAGATCATGAAGACGAGACACACGACCATGGTCATCGGCCCGACGGGCGGCGGCAAGTCGGTCATCATCAAAACGCTCAGAGACGCGCAGACCCTCATGGGCTTCCCAACAAAGATATTCACTATCAATGCCAAGGTAGGGGATTCTGCTTTTGGGAGCACGGTTATGTTTCGCAGTTATAAGTAATATAGTTAGCTTATTTTGCTGATCATTTTGTGAGGCGGTACAAATCCCGTCTTAAGATGAGTCACTCCAAACAAGAAACTATCTAATATCGCCAATGCCTTGCGGCAAGCTCGCCTGATTCTACAGCTGTTTGCGAGGTCAATTTATTGATTATGACCCTAGCTGTTTTTTGCGGCGTTGTGCTCGCGGCCTTGTTTCGAATAACCGGCCGTGTCCCTGTCCGTCGCCAGGCGTGCTCCGTGTTGGAGTTGTACGGTGTGCTGGATCCGGTCACTCGCGACTGGACCGACGGGCTGCTCTCCAACATATTCAGGGAAATCAACAAACCCACCGAAAAGTCAGAGCTGCGGTAAGTACAGCTGCTGTCCCCGTTGAAGGATACATTCCACACATCTGCAGTTTTAACGGGGTATATAGATATATTCAGCCTTTTCTACGTGAGTGTGTTTGAAACATATGTGAAGGTGTGACCGGGAGAGAAACAGTTTTCACTGCTCCTATTTCTCAGCATTGTGCATGCTGTCTCGCTAAACGAATAGGAATAAGGAGACGGGCTGCCTGGACGATAATCCGGCCTGTCATCAGACAAATTTATCAAAGATTACCTTCGTCTCTCAAGCAAAAAAAAAAAAAAATACTATTGTTAGTTCCTGGAAAGAGAACTAGACAGCTTCTTTAGGATAACCCGACTTGTTACTCAGGTACGTTTTGTTTGACGGTGACGTGGATGCACTGTGGGTCGAGAACATGAACTCCGTCATGGACGACAACAAGCTCCTGACGCTGGCCAACGGAGAGCGTATGCGCCTGCAGAAACACTGCGCTCTGCTGTTCGAGGTACGCTCACAGCCGAGTGCGAGCTGCAATTCTCAACGATCTTGCGTTGCTAGCTAACTCGCTTGCTTCGCCCAACCAAAGCCAGCAGATAACGACTAGCCGTAATCATTATGCTATCTTGATTTATATGTTCGATTCCTATTCTTTATACTTTTTGATTATATGCCGTTTTCACAGCTTTCGGTGGTAGCTGGTGTTTTCAAGCGTTGTTCTGTGACACATGATTCGTGGTTATCGGAAAGCTAAAACATTGTATGTTCTGCGTGTATCTGCGTTTTCAGGTGGGCGACCTGCAGTACGCGTCTCCGGCCACCGTCTCCCGGTGCGGCATGGTGTACGTCGACCCCAAGGACCTCGGCTACAGACCCTTCTGGGACCGCTGGATGGCCAGTGAGTACTGCGAACACCTCCGCTCAAAGCAAATGCTAAACACACGATGAACATTCAATACACTATGTAGTTGTTTAGAATTCAGAAGCCGTATTGGAAAGTTGTTTAGGTTCAGACATCATGTGGTGTTTTTTTCAGGTCGTCCGGCTAGTGAGGTTCAGGAGATGAACGCTCTCTTTGACAAGTATGTGCCGCCCGGCCTGGATCTCATCCTGGAAGCACTCGTGGACGGACGTCAGGAGGCCAAGATGAAAACAATCGTGCCCCTCACTAACCTCAATATGGTGAGTATGAGATTTGCTTCTCTGAGTATCGCGTAGACGTGGATTGAATTTTGCTTTACTTATTTTGGACGTCGGTAGTTATCCTGATATATGCGATATTTTGTTCACGTGCTTAACCCGGCCGGGCCCGGGGGGTAATCCCAACCACCGCAGCCCGGCCGTGGGAGGGGGCGTTTTTCGCCCCCCCCCCCCCCCGTCTAACTCCGTAAATGAGGGACCTACGCAAACAAAAGCGATACCAAACGAAAGGTCCATACGAGACGATTCTAAAGCACCCAAAATTTTTAACCTCGGGACAATTTTTAAGTTCAGCTGTCAAGGTCAAGGACAATTGACAAAAACCGGCACATGTGTAGTGATCTCAAAGTAAGCGTTCTAGAGGACGGCAGGATGCATAAAACCGGCAAAATTGGGTGTCAAACGAAAGAAGAGAATCTGAGGATTCCGAAAATGTGCTCAACATCAAAGGTCAAGGTGCAGGTCATGCTCAAAACTGACCTCAAACTTTGCACTTTTTCGTACATCTTGTTTGCTAACTTCCAAGATGTTTTGAAATGTTTTGAGGCTTATCAGGTCCCTATTTGTGGTTCATCTTACGATACAAGGCTGCTCAAAGGTCAAGGTCACAGAAGAGTGTCCTTGCTAGAGGCTATTTCACTGATTCAAGTTAGTAATTAATAAATAAGATAATTTTGCCATCCGGAGGCTCTAAATGAAGGCTGAGAGGAAAATAGATGCCAGATTCGTGATCAGCGGGTACGAATCCATCACAAACGACCTTTCAAGTGTCAAGGTCAACCAAATGTCATTCGAGGTCACATGAGGTCAACATAAAACTTGACCTTTTCCAAACAATATATATATATATATATATATATATATATATATATATATATATATATATATATATATATATATATATATATATATATATCATTCGACGCGGCTTGACAAGGCGAATGCGATGGTACCACTGCCGTAGCTCTAGGACCATTTTTGTGGAATTAATTTGCGAAAAACTAAAACCACAGCTCGGGGTCGTTGACCTGACCTCTGACCTCAGGTCACCAAAACTATTTTTTATATTTTTCTCTAGATCAAACGCTACACAACCGTGCTCGTAAATTGTCTTTATCTCTAAAACTCTATTTTTAGCCACTATTTGAAGTTCGCGTCTGTGACGCCGAAGTTTGCCGTGCAGGGGTCTAGAAAAATCGACCCTGTGACGTCATCAATGGGGCTAGGTCCAAAAATATTATTTCAGAAGATGTCAAATTGATGGAAGAAAAGGTACTGAAAGTTTCGCTTTCCTATCCCTAATCGTTCGGGAGCTATCGCAAATATTCGCCAGGGGGGGTGCGCGAAAAACGCCCCCCCCGCGCCCGCGAGGGTTAACCCGCGCCCCGTAGGGCTACCGGCGGACCCTACCACCCGTAGGGGGTGGCCGTTTCCCCCCCCTAAGTTCTCGGAAATTTACCGGCCGATTTTCAAAATTCAAACGGCGTTCGATAGCCCCACCGGGGAACTACCTTGTGACCAAATTTCATTGACCTAGGTCAAACCGATGACGTCACAGGTCAGGTCAAAGGTCGGATTTTCACCGTTCACAGGCATTTCAATAAATGTGTTGCTAAATCGAGTAAATTGGTAAACTATTGAAAACCATCGATGGTACATTGTTCGTCAAACACATACTTAGCTATCTGAGGTCACTGATACCAGGTCAGGTCACAATATGAAAGTGTCGTGTGATACATGTTTTATGGTCCATTTTACATGAGAAATGCGATTGTGTGGGTCAGGCAGCCTTTGGGGCCAGCTTAGGTCACGTTTTGGTGAAGGTCAGGTCAAGGTCAGGTCAAATTAGGTCAAATTTCAAAGTTGATATTTTTGCATAACATGGGTATCGATTCGATGCAGCTCGTCACGGGGAGTCCAATGGTGGCCTTTGTTTTTCCCTACGAGGTCTAGAATTGCCAAAAATTGAGTTTGAAAATTTGACGTCATCATTTTTGAACAGTTTTTTCGCTATAACTTGGCCAAAAAACGAGGTATCGATCTGAAATTTGGGATATAGATAGAGGACGGCAGTTACTATTACATATATTCCGGTTTTTTTCGAAACTCAAAAAAGAAAACTTTTTGGATTTTTTGGCTAATATATAAAAAAATGCTTTTTTGATTTTTGGGGGTCAAAACTCAACAATTTCAAAAATCTGAGTTAGCAGTTTTGTAGTCCTGTCAATTCTACACCTTTTATGTCTTGATCATTTTTCTGTATCTCCAAAGCAGGGCTGCGGAGTCGATGGATTTTCGGCGACTCCGACTCCGACTCCGACTCCGGCTTTCAGAAACCAGCTCCGACTCCGACTCCGACTCCGGGCAGAATTGTCGACTCCGACCGACTCCAACTCCCGACTCCGACTCCGCAGACCTAGCAGGGCTGCGGAGTCGACAGATTTTCGGTGACTCCGACTCCGACTCCGGCTCGGGTTTCTAAAATCGACTCCGACTCCGTCTCCGACTCCGGTCACAACTGTCGACTCTGACCGACTCCGACTCCGACTCAGACTCAGACTCCGCAGCCCTGTGTAGGTCTGACAGCTCTTCTCGCGAAGGTCTTTTTTGGTCGAAAATGGCAGAACATGACGTCATTCTGACGTCATTTGTGGCCAACCTACCATAGCCTCTGGAAGAATTTTTGTTCACAATGTGTAAAATTGATGCCCGGAGGGGTCCTGAAAGTTTGGTGGCGATATCTCTAGCCGTTTAGGAGATATCGACGGAAAAGGACAGAGGGGCCGTTTGGCCCCCCCCCCCCCCCTACGGGGCGCGGGTTAATAAGAGTCCCTGTTAATGAAACACTTAGGATACAATTTTTCCGACCTAATAAATTCGATGACTCAATGAGTTTTTTTTTTAATTAATAGCGTTTCATTTCCCTCGCTTCACTGTTTTTTTTTTCGATATAGCGTCAGCCGGTGCTAGTATGTGACTCCGCCCGCGCCCATCCCCTTGTGTTGCACAGGTGCACCAGCTGGCCAGCATGTTTGACGGTCTGGTCGGGCCGGGGAACGCTTGCCCGGAGGACCAGCTGGAGCCGGTGTTCATCCAGTCGCTGTACTGGTCCCTGGGCGCCGGCCTCGAGGACGCCGACCGCACCCGCTTCAACGACCTGATGCGGGACTGCGGCGGCCTGCCTGGCCTGGCCGACGACGGCCAGCGGCGCGCCAAAGGAGGTGGGTGACATGTCCACAGGTTAAACCTTGTCTTGGCTCAAAGTTCAAAATTATCGAGCAATCTTTTTTGATATCACCAATTTTAGGTGTAATTAGCATTAAAAATTCTGCGCCTAGCCAGATGCTGATTCTCCGACTGCCGGTGCCGTTCCCAGACGAGTGGCCCACCACGGAGCCGACCATGTTCGACTACTTCTGGGACACGTCGGCGGCCGTGTGGGTGCCCTGGAGGGACAAGGTGCCAGAGTACGTGCACGACCCCACGGTCAAGTTCAACGACATCCTGGTGCCCACCGTGGACACGGTTCGCACCACCTGGCTGCTCAGCCTCATGACGGAAAAGGTACGATATGTAAACGGCGTCAGCGAATAATTGCGGTGGAGAACATAACAAGACTATCGTAATGGCTAAAGTATGACCGAGTATATTGTTGTTGGACTTATAATTGTTGCTTGCATATAATACATGAATTTGCTGCAGCTGTTTTTATTGCATGCGCGATCATGATTTCTTATTGACGCTCACGAATTTGTTTAGGTGAAGAAGCCGGTCGTGCTGGTGGGAGAATCAGGCACCAGCAAGACAGCCACTACCAGCACTTACCTGCGGTCTCTGGACTCGTCAGTCAACGTGAGTCGGGTGTTGAGAACCCATCGATACTTTTTTTCTTTATTTGTGAGATTAGATACATTTTTTCGCACATAATCGTCGCCACTTCAAGCACATCGAGCTCAGACGATCATAATTGATAACTCTCCGTTTCAGGTGTTGCTGTGCATGAACTTCTCGTCCCGTACTACCTCAATGGACGTCCAGCGGAACCTGGAGAGTAACGTGGAGAAGAGGACCAAGGACTCGTTTGGGCCGCCGTCCGGGAAGCGACTTGTCGTCTTCATTGATGATATGAACATGCCCAGGGTACGTTAAATCGTCTGCGGTCTGTAAGCATTTAAGCGATTTTTTCTCTCAAAACATTATATCCTTGGTCGATAATTAATCATAGAGACATTAAATTGTGAATTGCACTTTTATTCATGACCGGTACGAGTCAACGCGTTTGTCTGTATGGTGCGCCGCAGGTGGATGAGTACGGCACGCAGCAGGCCATCGCCCTCCTGAAGCTGCTCCTGGAGAAGGGAGGCCTGTATGACCGTGGCAAGGACCTCAACTGGAAGTTCCTCAAGGACATCGGTAAGTTGCTGCAGCGTCTGCGCCACCAGGGAAGGACATGCTAGTCACGAGGATCAATATCGTACTTTGTTCTGGACAGTAATTTGTGTTCGCTGCTGTCTTGTTAACTGTCAGAATTCTTTAAAGATTATGATACGACATTTGTACCTAAAACTCCGACCCCATCCCACATTCTAGGCTATGTCGCGGCGATGGGCAAGGCTGGCGGCGGTCGGAACGTGATGGACCCACGCTTCCTCTCCCTTTTCTCTGTGTTCACGATGGCTTCGCCGGGCGACGAATCTCTGCAGCATATCTTCCACAGGTAAGACACATCTCGGTCCTTATTTCTGTCTTGAACGAACACAGTGACCAAAGGTATTTACATGCCGAAAGGCTTGTGTATTTTAACCCGCGCATATTGACTGGGGTATTTTCCATAACGCGCGTGACGGGGGGGGGCTCTCCAGACCCCCCCCCCCCTCCTATCTCCGAAACTGCTGGGCCGATCGTCAAAATTCAAACGGCGTCTGATAGCCCTGTAAAACTGTCGAGCGAAACCTATTTTCATTGACCTCGAGGTCACCGATGACGTCACAGGTCAGGTCAAAGTAAAAATTATCGACATTTTTGCTAGTTCACAATTAAGCTTTGACCGCCGGCTGACAAGTCCGATCAGGCTCATTTTTGGTTTACGCACTCCCTGAGAGATGCCTTAGATACCCTGAGGGTACCGAACTTTTACTTCGAATTTTTAAGGCCAAGGCCAGGTCATCCTAGGTCACGAAAATTGTATCATGTATCGGTCACGTGACGCATGTTTTATGGTCCATTTTACTCGTAGATTTCGAAAATAGTGTCGTCTGTGTCACTTGAGGTCATTGTCAGCTGAATTTACCGGAGGTCAGGTCACTTTCAGGTCAGAAAAGGTCAAATATGGAAAAAATGAAATTTTCAGCAAAAAAGGTGCCTATCAGATGCAGTTTGAGCTCAGAAACACGATGGTGCCATTTATATTGCTGTACGACGTCAAAAACGTACTGAAAAATGGATTTGAAAAATATGTGATTGTAAAATTTTGACAATAATGCGAATAACTCGGCTATTTTGAAGATATTGGGTTAAAACTTGTAAATGTAGTTCATCAGTGTGTGTTCTATTGTTACCGGTCGCGTGTACTTTCCGACTTCCAGCTCGAGAGTCTCGATTAACGGCAAAAAACTGTATTGCCACTTAAACCGCGACAGCATCCCCCCGCGGGCTCCCAAGCTCGACTGCCTTCCCGCCGCGTCTCTCGCCGCGCCGCGTCGCGCGGCGTCGCCATGGCAACGGACAGAGGAGATGCAAATTCCGACACACATACCCACGGACGCACGGCGGAGGGCGGCTTGGCGACAAAGAACCAAACATTTTTACTCTGTTACATCTCCCCCCGCCAGCCAACGCCGCCTCTCAACACACACGACGAAGCATCGGAACACATACGGTATGTACAGTGTACACCACACGCACAGACGTATCCCTGAATACGCCTCACATTTCGTAGTCGCTTAGCCACTGCGGCGGCCGTCGAGTCCGCGAAGATCTGCGCAGACCATCGTCGGAAGGCTCGGTGGTGGCTGGCAGCTGGAATCGTACCTGCCGCGGCGGAGATCCTTCAGCGCGTGGCCGTGGCGTTCCCTGGGTCTCCTGTTCGCTACCCTGTCGTGGGGATCGCAGGCAAGGTCGAGGTGGTGACACTTCACACGGCGCTGTCGTTTCGTATTCAACTGTATCACTTGGCGTCGCCGCCTGCGTCGTCACTTCATGTCTCGTTATCCCGGGCTGTGTCGACTGCGGTACCAGGCCACACGGCACGTGAAGGTTGACGGAGGCGGTCCGTTCTGCCTCGTCTGGTGGCTCCGGTTCATCGTTCGCCCAGTGAAAGAGCCGACGTACGCGCGGAGATGCTCGTTGGATGTACGCTGGCGGGTTCTTCCATGGTCTCAGCTGCGCGTGGTGGGCTCGCTGTGAGTGCCCTCTCTGGTCGCTGACCTCGTAGGTCACGCCGTTGTCATTCACTCGTGTCACTGTCAGCGGGCCAGCGTAGCGAGGTCCGAGCTTGCTGGCCAGCAGGTTGCCAGGGCGTTCGATCGCCTTCTTGACCTGTTCGCCGACACGGAAAGGCGCGAAGCTCGGATGTCCCGGACTCCATGTACGCTGCGTCGTCAAAGGGACTCGCGGAACATCGCTGATCTCGTGCGCGCGCCCCAGTAGGTACTGAGCTGGCGACACGCCCAGTTCGGAGTGCAAGGTCGAGTTGTACGCTGACACGGCTCGGGGAAGGCGTAGGTCCCAGTCGCCAGGTGCACCGTCCAACATTCGCAGGGACTGACCAAGCGTCCGGTTCAAGCGTTCCACCGCGCCGTGACCTTGTGCGCGCAGTGGCGTGGACAGAACGTGGACGATGCCCCATCGCTCCAGCACGGCCTCGAACTCGGCCCCGCAGAACTCTCCGCCGTTATCCGTCAGACAACGGGCCGCTGGACGAAGGAGTGCCGGCAGCACCCACTGTTCGAATGCCGTAGCAACCGCTGGCGACGACTTGGACCGAATCGGCACCGCGATACCAAACTTAGAGGCATGGTCGACCACCACAAGACACCCGATGTGGCCGCGACCGCTGCGGGGAAGCATCACCAAGTCTGCCTCGATCAGTTCGAACGGTGCGCTGGTGGTGATCCGTATGGTCGGAGGAGTCTTCACGTGGGAAGACGGCTTGAAGAGCTGGCATTTCTTGCATGCGCCAACCACGTCCGCCACGATGTTGGCCGCCCCGGGACAGAATACCTGCTGGGTCACCATGTCGAGCAGCTTGTCGCGGCCGGCGTGAGCTGACTCCATGTGCATGGTCCCAACCAGTTCCACAAGCCAGTCTCGGGACACCACCGGCATGTGTCTGTGCTCATCAAACTGATACACCACCAGTCCTTCGACCATGGCAACTCGATCCCAGTGCTTGCGGAAGTGACGAAGAGATCGTGGCAGCATTGCCCTGCTCGTCTTCCGCCGCACATGATGAGCGAGAGAGCGGATCGCCCGGTTGTGCTGCTGGTGTTCGCGTACAGCTGGGAGTTCTGGCACGCGCTGCACCTGAGTCAGTCCGACCAAGGCGTCACCATCTGGCACATGCTGCTGCTCCAACAGGGGACTCACGCGACTCCCACAGGTCACCTCTCGCCGTTCCACGTCGATGATCGCGCCAGCTTCGTGCAGGAAGTTCACACCCAGCAGCAGGCAGTGACCGAACGAGCTGCTTCGTTCGACCACCAACGGCACGCGAACTGTCTTCATCTCAGGCGAAAGTGCGACTTCAGCTTCAACGTACTCGGTTCCGAACGTCAATCCAGCGAGTCCCTGCAGCGCAACATTGTTCCGTCGAACGTCGGAATCTCTGAAGCCGAGGCGCCCCAGCGAGTCAGCACTGCACAAGCTGACGGCCGCGCCGCTATCCAGCAGCGCGCAGGCCGCCTGTCCATTGCAGATCGCTGCTGCCGAGCAGCGCGAACTGAACAGATGGCCACATGCAGGACCCCTTGTCTCCTCTGCCTCGTTCTGCAGATTCTTCACTTGGGCTTCCGGACTGTGTCGTCGAGACAGTCCCTGATCCGAGCCGTCACGAGCTCGCTCCTCGTTCACGATGTACGCCGAGAGCACGGGGTTCTGCTCATCTAGCGCGCCGGTCTCAGCGAGGAGGTTAAAGTGGATGCCCGCCAGACAGTGCAGGTGAATGTTGCCCCGTTTCGAGTGGCGCGCACTGCAGAAGGTCATGGGATGATCAGGTCCGAAGTGCACCAGAACTCTCACGTCGAACAGGCAGGCGAAAACCGCAAGCAGCTCCACAGCCAGCGGCTGTCCGGGCAGGCGCATCAAACGCAAGGCCTGACGCACAGACCGGTCGAGTTTCAGCCCATATTTTCCCGGTGAGCGAAGGGCCTCGTCGATCAGCTTCGCACGGAGCTCGCGATTGACAGCCGGCTGAAGCGCGTTGGTGCTCATCCACTCGCAGAGGCACTCTACCAGGCTGTCCCCTCCCCCCTCCGGCCGACGCGAGAGGATGAGACCGGGAGGGAGACCCGTGTCGGCGGGAATCTCGGGCGCAGGCGGCGCGCCGTCTGGGGCTCCCACGCGGGACAGCATGTCAGCGGCAGCGTTCAGACGGCCGGGGACGTGTCGGATCTCCATGTCATAGGCCGCCAGCTCTTCCACGGTCCTCGCGACCCGGTGGTTAATCAACCGCAGTGAGTGCAGGTGAACGAGGGCCTGATGATCGGTGTACGCGATGAAATGAACCCCAGCCAGGAACGAATGAAAAGTTTTCACGCCCCATCGCAGCGCCGCGAGTTCTCGACCAGTCGCTGAATAGCCACGCTGGGCGTTCGTGAAGGACATCGAGGCGAACGCGATGGCGCGATCCCGCCCGTCCTGACGCTGAGTGAGGCACGCGCCAGCCCCATAGGCCGAAGCGTCGACCCAGAGACAGAGAGGGTTGGCGGTGTCGGTGTAGTCTGGAAAGGCAAGCATGACGTCGCGGGCGATCTCATTCTTCAGTTGTTCGAACGAGTCAGTCATTTCGGGTGTCCAGGTAAGCGCAGTGGAACCAGACTGGCCGGTGAGCTCAGACAGAGGGCGAGCGACCTCCGAGCAGCGGGGAACGAACTTCCGCTGGAAGTTCACGAGGCCGAGGAACCGGCGCAGCTCCTGAACAGTCTGCGGCCGCGGGAAGCTCTGGACTTTCTCGATGTACTCAGGGGCCTTGCGCAGTCCAGCTGCCGAGAGCTGATGTCCGAGAAACTTTACTTCAGGCTGAAACCAGTGACACTTCGCTGTGTTCAGCGTGATCCCGTGCGCCTCCAGCGCCGACAGGACAGCATCCACGAGCTGCAGATGGCCGGAGAACGACGATTCCATCAGGAGCAGGTCATCCAGATACACCACAAGCTGCTGACGTGAGAATCCCGCGAAAATGGCCTGCATTTCGCGCTGGAAGACAGCAGGAGCGTTTTTCAGTCCGAAACTGAGACAGCGGAACCGGTAGTGGGACCGCTGCGTGCTGAACGCGGTGAAATCCCGCGACTCTTCCGCGATGGGAAGCTGGTAGTAGGCTCGTTGAATGTCCAGCGCGCTGAACCAGCGCATATCATGCGCGCTGTAGACGGAATCTGCTACATCTGTCATCGGGAAACGCTCTGTGACGGTGCGGCGGTTCAGGCGGCGGTAGTCGATGCATAGCCGAAGCGAACCATCGCGCTTCCGGATCGGAACGATTGGTGCATTCCATGCTGAGTTGCAGCGTTCGATGATCCCCAGACGTTCAAGCTCCAGACATTGACGCTCGACATCTTCGGCGATCGGTGGAGACATCCGTCGGGGTCGCACGTAGATCGGGGTGTCGTCCATTAGTTCGATTCGGTGCGCGGTCAGAGCAGTCCGCGGGGTGTCAGCGTCATCACCCCCGAACACTCTCGAGTGCCGGTCGAAGATTTCCTGCACGGCGTCGCGCTGTTCCCGTGTGAGGCCAGGTATCTCGTCAGCGGACGGCGGGCGACTGACCTGTTCGTCAGCGGCGTCCGACGAAGCGGCAAGGACTTCCACGGGGGGATCGCAGTCAAACATGCTGTCCGCTGCAGTGTACAGCTGGCCGATCAGTGCACCTTTCCGGACAGTGGTTGGTACAAAGCCTCGGTTGCAAACCAGCACACAGGGCTCGGACAGATCCACAATTCCATCAACAGGTTGCAAGCAGGGCGCACTGGCGACGTCCCCAGTGAACACATACGAGCGGGAGGGCGCATCACAAACGTCGCAGGTAGGCTGGGAACTGATCAGGCAGGGGAGGGTCACAGAGTCACCAGGCGCAACTGTGACGTCTCGAGTCGCGCGACAGGGCACTGCGCGGGCGAAATACGCACAGGCGGAGTTGCGATCCCCATCAGGCAGGTACAGCGTCCACTGCGAACCATCCACATGTCGGCCAGTGACCGCTCGGCGAGAGACATCGATACACAGTCTGTGTCGTTCCAGCGCGTCACAGCCAATAATCAGATCAGTTACGGCGCGGTCCGAGTCGAGCACCAGACAGTCTGTGAGCTGAAGCAGCACCCCGTGCAGAACAACGGAGACCTCTGCACGTCCCACCGGATGTAGCGTGCGGCCGCCGATCGCGTGAACAACCTCCGAACACGGTCGAATCACAGCATCATCAACCAAGTGACGCGCGATCATGGAGCGGTCAGACCCAGTGTCTATCACGCCCGTCACATTCTCAGAGCACCCAGCCACAGTAAACTTCGCGTGCAGGGCTGGCTGCGGTCGGGCAGACGAGGCGAAGACAGCTTCCGCATGCAGGGGAAGCGCGGGGCTAGAATCGGTCGTAGCGGCTGGCCCCGCCGCGGCAGTACGACCATCTAGTTTTCCGTCTGACTGAGTGCTGGGGCACGCTGGCCGCGACGGAGGGCTCGAGAAGCCCCACGCTCCGCATGCATTACAGCCGGGCTTGGCGGGTCTTCTCGGGACCTGTCCAGCGGGAGTGGCGAGCTGGGGCGGCGCGCGCGACCTGGGGCTGAGGGGACAGGCCCATCGTCGTGAGAGGTGCGGCAGTCACGCGCAAAGTGGCCAGAGGCGCCGCACGTGAAACACAGGTCATTGGCACGCCGGCACTCGTCCGCGGTGTGACCGCGGCGGCGGCAGAAATCGCAGCGCAGAGGTTTCCGATGACGGTCGCGGGTTGGCGAGTGTGCCGGCTGCACGGCAGTCGGTGCGCGGTGTCCGCGGGCTGACGCACCACGTGACTTAAATGCACCGCGCGGGACGCTGACGGAACGATGAGAGCAGTCCGAGTCGCTGTCTGACTCGTCAGCGGACAAACGGAGGTCGTGGTGCGCAGGACGTGACCGTGGTGACGTTGTCCGGGGGCGGGAGCTTTTGCACGACCGGCGCGCGGCCGTTGACTGACTGCCGTGCTCCGCTGAAGCACGTGCATATAACGAGTCGTGTGTGCCATCAGCCTCCGACTCGAATCGTTCACATTCCAGGTATGACACCAACCCATCCCACCTGAGCGAGGTATCATGATTAATCAGCGCATAACGCAGCTGCCGGCGGAGAAAGTCAGCGGCACACGTGGGCAGCGTTGACAGCAGTTTACGTCGGAGATCATTGCTCACCTGTTTGTCCGCCTCAGGGTACGCATCTTCGAACAGCGCAGCCAGCCGGAACGCATACACTGCCAGAGATTCTCCCGGCCGGCGCGCGGCGTCCCGATATGCGTCCGTCGCAGTCGTCTCCTCGTAGCCGCGCTGACGAGCGGCCCACTCCAACATTCGGCGCTTGATCACTGGGTACGGGCTGCGGGATCCGTTAGCATCGAATATTTCCAGAACGCGGCCCGACAGCTTTGAACGGAGCAGCGGCAGCGCGTCTTCCATTGTACCGCGGTATTCAGACGTACAGTACCTTTCAAACCGGGCGAAGAATTCGTCCATGGGCTCTGCTGGGTCTTCACGAAACGGGAGCAGGTCGTGAGAGCGAGTCGGATGACTCTGGACCGTCTCACGACTCACTGGAGGCCCGACGGGGGCGACGGCATCGTTTGTACCGGCGCCATTGTCGCCCGCCGGAGCCGCCCTGACAGATACGGCCTGCTGTAGCGCTGTTATCTGCCTGTCTTGATTTTGCATATGCTGCCGCATTTCTTCCATGAATGCGAGCATAGCTGTCGGTTTCGCCTCCGTGATGGCGTCAGCTGGCGGCTGTGGTGAATCACTAGCCGGCGCGGGGTCAGAGGCCGACATGGCGTCGGAAAATTACAAAGTTACGTTAAAAAAAGAATACTAACGGCACGGTACTGAGTCTCGCTGGACTAGGGACGCAGCGGACGAGCCCCCAATGTTACCGGTCGCGTGTACTTTCCGACTTCCAGCTCGAGAGTCTCGATTAACGGCAAAAAACTGTATTGCCACTTAAACCGCGACAGCATCCCCCCGCGGGCTCCCAAGCTCGACTGCCTTCCCGCCGCGTCTCTCGCCGCGCCGCGTCGCGCGGCGTCGCCATGGCAACGGACAGAGGAGATGCAAATTCCGACACACATACCCACGGACGCACGGCGGAGGGCGGCTTGGCGACAAAGAACCAAACATTTTTACTCTGTTACACTATCACATATATTCCGGTTTTTGCGAAAAGTTTAAAGCTTTTTGAAAAAATCAAAAAATATATTTTTATTATTGTAAATACATATTTTTCAAAAAAATAAAATTTCGAAAATTCGAGACAGCAGTTTGATAGCTACGTGTATTTGTAGTTTATTCATGCAAAGAAAATGGATCTAGCTTTAAAACTTTGCTCTTGAGAGCGTTTGCCGTAATTCAGTATTTTGCATCAAAAACGGCCGACATGACGTCACTCTGACGTCATTTCCGGCCAAACTATGGTAGCTAGAAAGTTGAACTTCTAACACAAGGTTTCAAATTGATGCGTCTGAGAGTACCGCAAGTCACGTGTTGATCCGTCAAACGGTTTAGAAGATATTGCTGAAAACGGGAGGGGGGGCTCTGTAGAGCCCCTCCCCCCAGTCATGCGCGGGTTAATAAACATTTGACTTGTTATTGTTATCAATCATATTTCATACCTTCGTAGCTTTATACTTGTTATGTGTGCCCGTGCCTGAGTGTTTGACGTCATTGAAGATAATTATGTGACATGTGCACATTTAAAATTTTTACAAATACCAACCCTTTCTTGCCCTCAAACTCGGTGTTGAAATTCACTGTTCTGTATTGAATATTTACACTTTGACCGCTCTGACGTGTCTCCCTCCCCTCAGCATCCTGTCTGGTCACCTGCAGCCGTTTGAGCCGGCCATTACGGAGCTGGCCCTGCCGCTCACCACGGCCACCATGCAGCTCTACCAGGTATGTAGGGAGCAGATGAACCGGCCCTTTCAGAGCTGGCCCCATATCAATTAACTTTACACATACATTCATGGGGAGGGAGGCTTCGGTCAATCAACTCATAAGGCGGACTATTTTTGGCCAGAATAACATTATCCGAAGTCGTCATCGCTAAAACGGGCATTGCGATGCACAGTTTCATGGCCATAAAGCAGGGTGGTTGGAGATGTCGGGGTTTGAACCCGAGGCCTCTCACATGCGAAGCGAGCGCTCTACCACTGGGCTACACCCCCTGGCGGCCGTACCGGTCTTCGTCGCTCCGGCAGCGATACGATGGAATTTGCTTTTATTTGTGATGAAATCTAAATAGCTTTTACAATAAACCAGGCTATCAATATAGCTTGATCGATCGCTCCCATGCTGTTCTACCTTAATCAGGCGTAGGCTCATGTGCGGACCAAGTCGAGAAAACAATCACTTTAGTATTCGTCGCCTTAAAGGACATTACCACAAGGTACATTTCGATGACACACTAGACACTACCACTCATATTCCGTCAATGCTTTGGTTTTGCACCAAATATTTCGCCCCATGGAGCCTCGAAGTCGCTTGGGGCTAGCTTTCTCCCATTCTCGATGAGCTGGCCAAACACGCTGGATTTTGATGAAGAAGCCGGTGGAGCTACTTCGCCGTCTACGGCTGAGTCAGACTCTTCTGCCGGGCCAGACGTGCGTCCTGCGACGCACCCAACGTGATGGGGACCAGCTTCAGGAGGGGCTGTGGCGAGGATAGCGGCGGAGTTACCCCGGATGATCGCTATCGAGACTCTTTGCAGAAGCCAGGACACTTCTCTGGGGTCCTTAGTCGCCGCAGAAATCCGGCCGCCGATATCCCGGAGCAGCTTTGACCCTGCTTCTCCGACTACGCCGGTAGTCTCCACTGCTATTGGAGTGAAGATGTAGCGGTCTGCGAGACTGGCGTAGCGCATGCGCTTCAGGTTCTCGGCGACGGCTGCAGCTGCGCCGGGATCCACTGCACACTTCACCACGTGTGACTCAGCAAACGTGTCAACGCACATGGCGTCCCATGTGAGGTTTCGATCGGCACTGAAGGGGAACGTTGTCAGCCCGTCGGGGCGCCTCCCATCTCCTCTGTCTAGCCCCACAGGTTCTAAGATCGATGGTACGCCCGCACTCGCCAGTGCTCGCTTAATGACGTCATTTAGGGCTGACGCTTCCCTGCGGCACGTGGGAAGCGACGTCGAGAAACATATAGGAGGCAACTAACGACCAAATTATAGGTATGCGGATGCCCCCACTCCTCCACAGGCGATTGTGAGGCTGCTGCCGCCGACGCCGTCCCGCTTCCACTACCTGTTCAACCTGCGCGACCTGAGCCGCATCTTCGGCGGCTTGTGCCAGACCAGTCCGGAGCGGTTCACCAAGACCAAGCAGATGGTGCGCTGCTGGCGCAACGAGTGCCTGCGCGTGTTCGCCGACCGACTGATCGATGACCAGGTGAGAATTCCTAGCGCGAGGGGATGTAGGCCGATCTTAACTGTTGTGCTGTTATGTTAATTGCATGTGAGCCCCCTTTTGGTAGAACCAATGCAGATCCGTACCTTATACGTGTCTTTCGTTTTCGGCAGGACTTTGCGGTGGTGTCTGGCCAGCTGGTGCAGCTGATGGCCGATAACGTCGGACAGCACAGCGACGAATGGACCGATTACGTGCTCCGAGACCCCATCTTGTTCGGCGACTACCGAAACGCACTCGAGTCGGACGTGCCGAGGCTCTATGAAGACATGCAGGACTACGACGCATCCAAGGCGCTCTTCCAAGAGGTACAGTTGTGTGTTAACGAGTTGATGACCTTTTGCTGTTTTTCTGCTATTTTTGGCAGAATTGTTACGCAATTTTTAACGAACGAATCGAACAAGCTGGTACTGAATGTTGTACAATATCACGAGTGTTATTCTTATCAGCCTCCATCGATCTACAGATAATGGAGGAGTACAATGAGCGCGGCAACAACAAGCTCCAGCTGGTGCTGTTCGACGACGCGCTGCAGCACCTGACTCGGATCCAGCGAGTGCTCAGGATGGTGCAGGGCCACGCGCTGCTGGTCGGCGTTGGAGGATCGGGAAAACAGAGCCTGACCAAGCTGGCCGCCTTTACTGCAGGTGTGGGGCTGCCTTACGACTGTCCGAGCTATCAAAATTCAGCAGTTTTGTAGTTCGTTTTTACAGTAGTGCATGCGGCAATTTAAAATGCATGTAATCATACTTTTTAGTGGTTTAGGTAAGGATAGGTTATTATCAGTATTTAACTTATTCTTCTCAAACTCTCAAGGTAATTAATTTACGCCAAAATTGTTTGTAAAACCTGCGACATATTTTGCGTTTGTCACCGGACAAGATACAAGCTTATTTGCACTGTCGTGGAATATATACATAGGATGGGTCTCGGCCGTCTGATGGGTACAGTCGGCAACACTTAACCAGTCCAAGACTTATGCTTGGTCTGACGTGATGTGCCGTTATACGAAGCCCATGTATCGTATATCGTTTTTCCTTGCTAAGGCTGCCCAGGTAAGGACTTGCGCAAACCCAAATGTTCCAAAGTGAACGGTGACATTTAGAGCGGGAAATTCCGAATGAAGGTAAGTGGGTGTCAAGTGATTTAGTAACAATGTTTGAGATATTGTTTTCAAAATGTATAGCAGAATCCGTGAAGCATCCAGCTAGGAAGGTCCAGTTACGCCGGAAGGGTTTTAGTTGGTATAGATAATAGGCCATGGCATAAAATATAAAAAAACACTGTCATTTGGTTGATATGAATTGGCTCAATACAATTTATTACCTACGTTAATTTTTGCTGGAATATTATGTTGAATTGATAAAGTTTTCATCATGTGGGTTATGGGTATCAGGTGATTGTAGATATGCATGTTTAATTGTCGCACTCTCTCTACATTTGGTCACAAAATTAGAAGTCAGGGTCACGAACAACACCCAAAGCAGCCCAGAACAGAACTGTTTATTTTGCTTTCGCCCTTATCCGCAAAGATGCATTTGTTGTGCCTGCTCAACTGATAACATCATGCGTTCATGCTTTCAATGTTACCTTGAAGTTAAGATTAGGTAGGTAATTATCTGTTCCCGCTTTTTCATAGGCCATAGGCACTCAACGATTGCGATTTTTTAGGATTCGGTCGGTTTAAGGTCGTCTTAGCAATCTTTTCACTGGTTTGTTTATCACTGTTGTCTGTTTTACAGGTTGTGAAGTATTTGAGATACAGTTGAGTCGCGGTTATGACGAGAGCTCATTCCGAGACGACTTGAAAGTGTTGTACGACAAGCTGGGTCTCCAGAACAAGCCGATGGTCTTCATGTTCTGTGACAACCACGTTGCAGAGGAGGGATTCCTTGAACTTATCAATAACATGCTGACATCAGGTATGTTTGGACGAAAATAATGACTAGCTACTTAGCTAGCTACATCGTCATACTTATCTCTGGATCGCACGATTGTTTATCGAACTGTTTACCAGAAGGGAATACTTGGCTTAGTGTCTGTGGAGATTATCGGCAGCACATATTTTATTTATTTCTAATGTACATTTCTAAGCCCGCTGGATGTATTGTTCCATAATCCATTTGCGTTTCAGGAATGGTGCCAGCTCTTTTCGGTGAAGACGAGAAGGATCAGATATTGGGAGCCGTAAGAGATGAGGCAGTCAAAGCCGGATATGCCATACAAAAGTAAGAGGGTTGCATTGATATCTACTTGGGTATCGCTTCGTCATGCGACGATTTTTACACTGACTAGGCCCAGACGTAGTATATCGAGCGCCTTGCTGTCTCTGATTGGGTGACATTTAGTTGTTTAAGTGCATTTTATCTAGCATAATGTTGAATAGCTATGGACTAGGGTGACCCGCGTGCTCCGCAACGCGAAAAGGGGCATTTTTGATCGGCGGGTGTTTGGTTGTTCTTGTGTCGGTTGGGTTATCTATCCATTTCGGTCGATTGCTTTTGGACGGCTAAACGATTTGGTTTGGTAGTGTCTAATGTGTCATCGAAATGATATGGTTTGGAAATAATATCCATCGCATCGAGGTGCCCGTGTTTGATAAGCATGCTTTCTACTTCAGAACCTGTCATTATAGTTCAGTGAACCTGTAAAATGTGTTTTATAAGTTAGGTGCGTAGTTTTATGACAAATGGAAGCCGTAGATAATTTTCGCTAAAAATGGTTTTGCGGAGGTTTGAAACATTTACATTTTTTAAGAATACTGTTGCTTGTCATGCAAACGTGATAATTGGATCTTGGAGAGAATTGAATGCTCTTTCCAATGATAGTATTTTCAATTGTCAAACGTATTAGGTTAAGCAGCAAAATCCGTGTAATTATTTATTGCCACATTATGGACAAATGCCATTTTCTTTAGCGATTTATTCCACCTTATTTTGATCAATTAATTTTTCTAAATTTTTCCATGAGAGGCGGTACATTTTTATTGCTAATAGGCGCTGTTTCAACTCGCTCCGTCTGACGGTCACCTGAAATCAATATAAATTCCAAAATCCGTCCAAAACGTCCATTTTTCAAAAGAAAGTGCCCTCTCCGGTGCACGTGGCGCGTGCCAACCCCTGCACCGCACACCATTCGATAGCCCGTTCGATTCTCTACACGATGCTGTTTTCCCCGTGCCGGTCTGGCCCACGGTTACCGAGATATTGCACCGGGACCGGACCCGTGTCGGACAAATTTGGCTGTTTTCGCCCGATTTCGCACGCCGATTTATACATGCAAAATCTATGACGCGAATTTGCACTTTTTGCCACGCGCCACGCGCTCGCTATCAATCCGATCGAGCTGAGACCCCTCAAAGGCACGTTGTCCATCCTTGTTCTATAAGTTGCACAAATTTCAGCGCGCTACAGTCTGACCTGTAACCCGCGCTACGTAACACCATGTCGCGACCTCGGTAACAGACAGAAACTACGTCACCACAAATAGTAATATAGATATGTTGCTGACTTACATACTCATATGTGTCGATATCGTTGAAAAATACGATGTTGCATTGTGATATACCTAACCCTCCGCCTTCTGGTTCATCTCCGTAGAGAGAGTGTGTGGCAGTTTTTCGTCGACCGGTGTGTGCAGAACCTGCACGTGGTGCTCTGCATGTCTCCCACGGGTCAGCAGCTCCAAATCCGCTGCCGAAACTTCCCTGGCCTCGTCAACAACACCACCATCGACTGGTTCCAGCCATGGCCGGAGCAGGCGCTGTACGCCGTGGCCAGTGTCTTCTTAGCCGAGGTCTGTCGGTTTATCATACTTTGTGGGCTTACCTTTTTATTTCTATCAACAAATTTCCATAGTCAGAAGTTTTTTTCATGACTTCAAATGTTTTAATGTTTACTGAACCATCAAGCATGCTTAATTTCTATGAATCCATTCACTTCACTGTCGGCTTATATTTGGAGCTCAAGATATAAGCGTACGAACAATTTGTTGTGGATTCGCAGGTGGCGTTGGTTCCAGACCAGCACCGTGCGTCTGTAGTGGCTCACGTGGTTCAGGTGCACACATCGGCACAGCTGGCCAGCGTGCAGTACCAGCAGAAGCTGCGCCGCGTCAACCACTGCACGCCCAAACACTACCTGGATTACATCAAAACCTACTTACGGCTCCTACAGGAGAGCAACGAATATAATCTCGCGCAGGTGAACTGGGCGTGAAAGTGCCTCCATTTGTGATATTTTACCGTGCTATTTCAGATAATAAGCTGGTATTGGCTATTTTTGTTTCCAGTACGTTTGTGTTATCATGAGATCACATTTTTCATAGGGATAGTTACGTGACAAAAAAAAAAAAAATGGGGACACTTGACGAAAACGAATCGTTGTTTGTAGTGTGAGCGTCTTGGCGGCGGTCTGCAGAAGATAGCCGAGGCCCGTGAGCAGATCCACGAGCTGAACCAGCTCCTTGAGGTGCAGAAGGTGGCCGTGCTGGAGAAATCGGCAGCCTGCGAGAAGCTCATTCAGGAGATCGCCCAGGGTACGCCAGGAAGTGACCGAACCTTTTATAAGACGTCGAGTATCACGCCTAGGCGCTGCAGCTTCAACGACGCAGTGTGCTTGAGTTCAATTGTCATTCAGTGAAAAAAAAAACTGAAGCTTGGGTGAAGAAATTATATGAAAAATAATGATAACTTCTAAAAGTAAATTCATTGTTCGAACAAAAGTGAAAGTTTCAAGCTCTTGGGATCTTTAGCTCTTAGCATCTGGTAAAATCTCATTAGATGACCTTGCTGACTACTTTTTGTCGCTTTACAGGCACGGAAGAGGCATCCCAGAAGAAAGAGTTTGCTATATCGAAGAGCAAAGAGATTGAGACAAGCAGCAAAGTTATATCACGCGAGAAGAGAGAGGCAGAAGAAGTGTTATCAGAGGCCCTGCCGGTCTTGGAGGCCGCTCGTCTGGCACTAGAGGATCTCGAAAAGTCCGATATCACTGAAATCAGGTGATTAAACTGGATTGGAGTGAGGAGGGCTAACGAGGCGTGACAAATTAACACGGCTATGTATGCTGTGATGGTTAGGTCTTGACGTTTTGAGCGATGTGTAACTGCAACGTTTTCAGCGCATTGAATCAAATCATTAATTGGACGAAACGCTGATAGAGTCAGATTTGCTTGTTTGTAACTTTTCGGTCACCAATTCTTGTGTCGATAGTAAGCGTACCTACATATCGCTCCGTCGGTTGATATCTCTTTTTGACATATGATCTATTTTATGCTGCAATTTTACCAGTTTGTGGAGCAGGTAAGTACTATCATGTCCCTTTCAATTTGGGTCCTCTCGTGTGTCGTTTTGCGACGCCCAAAACCAATCACAGAGGTAGGCGATCCTCCTTGGCTCTGCAAAATGGATAATGTCATTGTTTTACTGTGCGCTATTTGGTCGCACATCGCATTCGAGGGTCGCAAACGGCTTGCATTTTCAATTGTACATTACTGTCGTGTCTTTACGGTTAATATGTCGGGCTGGCACAGCTGACTGATACTGATATATGAAATACTGCTCCTGACGGGTGTTCTGCCGTACAGGTCATTCGCTACTCCACCGAAGCCGGTGCAGGCGGTCTGTGAGTGCGTGGTGGTGATTCGCGGCATCAAGGACGTCTCCTGGAAGGGCGCCAAGGGCATGATGTCTGATCCATCTTTCCTGAGGACGCTGCAGGAGATGGACGTAGATGCCATACCGCAGTCCGCCATTAAGACCGTCAAAGGATTCCTGAAGGTCAGGATTGTCGGAAGTGCCATATTTGTGATTTGGTTGTGCGACCTGCTTGGGTAGTTGGGCGTCATACAGTGCAGCGATAGTTTGGTGTCTGCTGGTGCTAGTGGATGTGTCATCTCACCAATTGTTCAAGGAACGTCGAAAACAACGTTAATTGAAGTGTTCCTCATGAAATGCGCTTATGTCTGCTAGTGGCAAATAACGTCCTACAATTTTGCTCAACCCGAGGTGCACAATCACATTATGAAAGAAATCATGTATACACCTCATCCATCGTGTAGGCAAAGACCATCACAGACAGTATTACGCATAGTGACCAGAATGACTGAATACCTACAGGGATTTGGTATAATATGAATATGCAGCAATTTGAATAATTATTAACAATGTAAAAATGATATGATTGTATGTTGTATATTCTGCCCCATTGCATGCAACGTTCTAAACTTCTTCATGTTTTGTTTTAAAGGAGCTGAAAATGAGCGAAGACGAGATGCGTGCTGTGTCACGAGCGGGTGCTGGCCTCCTGAAGTTCGTCAATGCTGTTATGTCCTACTGTGACGTACTCAAAGAGGTCCGACCCAAACGTGAGAAGGTGGCGCAGCTTGAGAAAGATTTCTACGCGGTGAGTAACCATACCTACTCTTATAATAATTGACACTGTCTTTTTTTCTTGCTTCACGTGACATGGTTTGTCCACATTTTAAATGAAATGTGAAGCTAAATATTCATTGAAGTCCGTTGTTTGGTCGAAGCATTTTCGTCAAAGAAGTTCAAAAGCTTCTTTTTACGATTAATCATAGCCCGTTTAGATCGCCTATATATACCAGTAAAATGCCTTTTGGGCGAAGAACGAGCGAGCGAGATAGTGAGCCCTGCACGTGCAGAAGGGCGAAAGGGTACTTCCAACGGGCTTGTGCAAAGCACCCTTCTAACCGGTCGCTAGCGGTGTACCAAATTTGAACGCAATCGGCCCAGCCGTTCCTGAGATCTGGAAGCGGCATTCTGCACGTGCGCACGTGCAAACGGGGTCCAAAATGACTTTTGCACGGCACCCTACTAACCGGTCCCCAACCGTGTACCAAATTTGAGCGCAATCGGCCCAGCCGTTCTCGAGATCTGGAAACGCCCCCTGCACGTGCGCACGTGCAGTAGCACCCTAACCGCAGCACATGGAAATGCATTGCCTGGTGGGTGCCTACCTGTATGCCAAGTTTCAGCGAAATCGCCCCAGTAATTACCGAGTTACTGAAATGGGAACAAATTTGGCACCTCTTATTGTTGTATTTTGCACGTGCAGTGGGGGTCACTCACATAGATGAAGATTATCCGACCTTTGGTAGAAGGGATGCAGCTACCCTATAAAAATGACCGCAAGACAATCGCTCAAGCCGCTGCTGAGATATGGGCCTCTAAAAATCATTACTTTTGCAAAACTGCTTGAACACCCTTGACTTTTCACGTGGCACGTGCCACGGCGGTCACTGAGATGTATCAAAAGTAGTCAATTACGGGGTAGAAGGGATGGGGCTACCCAGCAAAAAAGACCGCAGGCCATTCGGTCCAGCGGTTGCTGAGATATAAGCCTCTCAAAAGCGTTACAGGCCGGGCCGGGCCGGGCCGGGCCGCTCATACTGAGATTTTTCCGTTATATTGAAAAGACTTCGCTTCGCTCGCTGCGCTCGCTCGCTCGTAAACATTTTACGACAATCTTCCGAATGATCTTCTCGTCAGTTCTGTTTCCCGTTTTGTTGAGCTTCTCTCCTCTATATTTTTTTAAATTTATTTCCCTCCTTCGACCCCAGGCCAAAAAAGAGCTAGACGCAACAAATGCCGAGGTGGAGCGGATCGAGCAGCTGATGGCCGAATTGAACGCCAAGTTCGAGACAGCCAAGGAGGAGCGTGCCATTCTGCAGGCTGAAACGGAACTGATGATGAAGAGGTTGGACGCTGCCGACAGGCTCATCAACGGACTGGCGTCGGAGAATGAGAGGTGAAGAACAGTGTATTATACGCCTAATTTTAGTTGTTTCAATTGATAAAGTTGGAGCACCAATCGTATGAGGTGGAATTGCAAGCGAATGATATGACCTGCATTTTACATCCAAATGGATAGTTCGATCAGTATGGAATGAAACGTATGCATACGATCCTAATGCCCATGAGTCTTCTTTCAGATGTCCCCGTTCTCATTTTACCTGTGGCTTGTCTCGGCAGGTGGACTCAGACGCTGAAGGAGTTGGGCGAGCAGCGTATTCAGCTGATGGGAGACTGCCTGTTGAGCTCGGCGTTCCTGTGCTACGTGGGCGCATTCACCTGGGACTTCCGTAACCAGCTGGTGTACACCGATTGGCAGGCGGACTTGAGGGAGCGCGAGGTGCCGATGTCGCAGCCGTTCAAACTGGAGGCCGTGCTCACCGATGATGTGGAAATCTCCAAGTGAGTCATGGTACGAGGGATCGGCAGTGGTCAAGAAAGAGAAGAATGGGTAATGAGAGGTTGGTGAGACTCGTAGCTATTGATGCCTTTACTCAGAGTAGCAGTGAATATCGGCACACTGACACTGCTGTTTATGCCTGTTTCGCTACAGGTGGAACTCTGAAGGCCTGCCTCCAGATGAGCTCTCTGTCCAGAACGGCATCCTGACGACGCAGGGCTCCCGCTTCCCGCTCTGTATCGACCCGCAGCAGCAGGCATTGAACTGGATCAAAAAGAAGGAGCAGAACAATAACCTCAAGGTGATACATCTTACGGATTTACACGAGGCGTTAATTACAGCAGATCGCATGATCTAACCCGATTATTTAATTCTTGGAGGCATTGGCTTGTGTTCTGTGTATCCCAGGACATTCAGATTATATTGACACATGAGGCTGCGAGGTCATTTATGCTATTATGTTTGAGCATGCTGTGTTGCAATGTACAGCCCACCGCTAAAGTAATGTAGGGTTTTACCAATCTCAACGGTTGGCTTTGACTGGCGATTGTTTAATGCGGAGTGATCGAAAAGAAGATGTCAATAGCTAAAATTGTAGCTGCAAGGGTGACGATACATATGAGCTACATTCAAAGTTTCATTGTAGTCTGGCTAATCGTTCCTAAGCTTCAGAAGCAGAACATACCCATGACTGAAACCCCACATTACTTCTGCTGTGGACTGTACCAACGCATTTCTTTTATGTGCACGTATGCTTACTGCTGAGTTGACTGTCGTAATCCTTTTTGCAGGTGGTTACCTTCAGCGACAGCGACTTCCTACGGCAGTTGGAGGTAGCCATCAAGTACGGTTTTCCAGTTCTTGTACAAGACGTCGAGGAATACATCGACCCAGTGATCGACAACGTCCTAGAGCGCAACATCAAACGTAAATGACGAAATGTTTAATGCTCAGAAATTTTCCGTGATTCTGACAATGATTTGAGCAGCACGGAAGTGAAGACTTCTCTGCTTATCCCAATGTCGTGATAGCTCAAACAATATTGTGCAGCCTGTACAATAGTACAGGCTGTACTTTGCTCACAGTGAACACATCAGAAGCTTTATTTGGTGGGTCGTTGCTTCTTTAACACCTAGCGTGGTTTTCTTTTTTAGATGAACAGGGTCGTGTTTTCGTGATGCTCGGAGACCGTGAAGTGGACTACGACAATAACTTCCGGCTGTATCTCAACTCCAAGATGACGAACCCTATCTACTCCCCGGCCGTGTTTGGGAAGGCGATGGTCATCAACTACACTGTGACAACCAAGGTAACGCATTGTTCTGTAGGATATTAAAATGCAAGATTGGGATATTTGACATAATTCATGTCTTGTGATCCTGATACAGATACAGATATTAATTCACAAAAGGTCCACTCAAAAGTGTGGCTTTTCACTTTCGCACGTCACAAAATAAGACATGAGTAGACATTCACACGCAGCTACGTAAACAGGGTTAAAAGGTTAAAATGAACTAAAAGAAGATAAAGAGCACCAGTTACATAGGAAAATCCAAAATTCTTCAGTTACCGGACGCCGACCGCTTGGACTTCAGGTGTCTTTTCACGGCTGCCTTGTTCACAGTGCCCTGCGTTCTGCGCACGCTGTTATAGCCCTACACGGCGCTATAGCACAGTCGATTCCGCCCCGCCTCCGTATGTATGCTCGGCAGTGACAAGCTGTCGGCATCTCGAGTGTCGTGCTGATGCAGCCGGCTCGCTGGGGGACCAATAGTTTCATCAAGCGCCGCTGGCACACGGTGTGTCACAAGTCGATGTACGGACATAATCCTGTGGTACTGAATAAGCTGCTCAGCAGTGAGCCATCTGACATGACAGATGACGTCAGCAACGCGCTGGTGTTTGCGGCGCCCGCTCAGCACTCGCGCGGCAAAGTTTACCAGCTTTTGTAGCCGACGCTTCTCCGTCTGACCACATACACCGAACACCGACAGACAGTACCGCATCGCAGACATCATCAACGCGTCGATCAGATACTTGATCGTGTCGCGAGGCAGGGCATGTTTTGCATTGTTTAAGGCGAGCAGCATTCCTGTGCATTTTTGAACGATCAGGCTGACGTGAGACTGAAAAGACAAGTTTCGATCAAAAATAACGCCTAGATTTCGCACCTCTTTGGTAGCACGAATGGTCGATGCATTAAATTTCACAGACACATCAGGAGTAAGAGCAAGTAATTGTCTACTCCCAAATACCATAAACTCAGTTTTTGCAGCGTTCACTTTCATTCCATGGTGACAGAACCAGTCAAACAAACACTGCAGAGCAGTTTCGATCCGACTGACCAGGACAGGTAGGTCGCGTCTCTTTCCACTAGTCCATATCTGTGTATCATCAGCAAACTGAACTATGCGCACTGAGTCTGGAACGTGCAGGCACAGGTCATTGGCAAATATGCACCAGAGAACGCAACTCATCGATCCGCCCTGGTAAACGCCAACCGAGGTCTCCCTGATAGACGATCGAGATACGGATCCAAGAGCACTATTTGTAAGTTGTACTTGTTAGGTATGTCCTTCAAGATAATGTTTGATCCAAAAAGTGTCTATTCCGTACAGAGACAGCTTTTCTAATAGCTTATCGTGCGGTACCATATCAAAACACTTTGACATGTCTACCATAGCCCACAGAGTGATTTCACTTCTGTCCATCGCCCCGAGTATGTCGTCTGTCACCACGTGAAGAGCTGTTTCACACGTTTCACACCTGTTCTTGCAACGAGGCTGTAATCGTATCTCTCATTTGGTCAGGGTTTGGAAGACCAGCTGCTGAGTGTGGTAGTTGGCTCGGAGAGACGAGATCTAGAGGAGCAGCGTGAAAACCTGATCTCGGAGACAAGCCAGAACAAGCGTCTTCTCAAGGACCTGGAGGACGCCCTGCTCCGAGAGCTCTCCACCTGCCAGGTCGGTAGTGGCACTTGATCTGCTATACTCGGTGTCGGCGTGATCTGGTGATCTGTTTGGGAGTACTCAGTGAGTTTCTACCAATGCTGTTTCTCACTATCATGAGTCACTGGTTTTCCGTACGTTCATCTCACGGCCGGCCTGTCGATCCTGCAGGGTAACATGCTGGACAACACGGAGCTACTGCAGACCCTGGAGGACACCAAGGAGAAGGCCACCGAGGTGTTTGAGAAGCTCGAGCTGGCCGCCACCACGGCCACCGACATCGACCGGCTCCGAGACGGCTTCCGGCCGGTGGCCAAACGGGGCGCGCTGCTGTTCTTTGTGCTCTCGGACATGGCCACCGTGAACTCCATGTACCAGTACTCGCTGGCCGCCTACCTGCAGGTGAGTTCCCCGTCACACACATTAATCACAATATTGCATTACCAGTATAACGCCTTTTGGGGCGACTAACGGAGCGAGCGAGAGGGTAAGCCTTGCACGTGCGAAATTTCGAGGGGGTACCTCCAGCTGACTTGTGCAGTGTGCACGGCACCCTACTAACCGGTCTCTAGCGATGTGCCAAATTTGAGCACAATCGGCCCAGCCGTTCTCGAGATCTGGAAGCGGCACCCTGCACGTGCGCACGTGCAAAATGGGTCCCAACTGACTTTTCCACGGCACCCTACTAACCGGTCCCTAGCCGTGTACCAAATTTGAGCGCCATCGGTCCAGCCGTTCTCGAGATCTGGAATCGACCCCGGCACGTGCGCACGTGCAGCAGCACCCCAACTCTGGCACATGGATATGCATTGCCTAGTTGGTGCCTACCTGCATGCCAACTTTCAGCGCAATCGGCCAAGTAGTTACCGAGATATTGCAACAATTACAAAAGTGACACCTCTTCGTTTTGCACGTGGCACGTGCATAAGGGGTCACCCACATGCATCGGGAATAGTCCAATACTTGGTAGAAGGAATGAAGATACCCTACAAAAATTACCGCATGTAAATCGGTCAAGTGGTTGCTGAGATATAAGTGTCGTAGAATCGTGACCACGGCCGGCCGGCCGGCCGGCCGCTCATACTCAGAAATTTCCGTTATTCTACGTAAGACTCCGCTCGCTTCGCTCGCTCCGTAATAAGCCCTTTTTATATAAGTGTTCACGACATGACACAGCATGGTTGCGATACCTGGTTTTAACGAGCTTTGTCACTTGCTTTGCCTTTTGGCTTTATGGCACTTGTATCTAACGGCTATATTTTTTTCAGGTGTTCTCGTACTCACTGAAGAAGAGTATGCCGGACACAGTACTAACAAAGCGGCTCAGGAATATTATCGACACTCTCACCGAAAACGTGTATGACTACGGATGCACTGGTGAGCGATTACTACATTTTGTCATCGCCAATGGCAACCGGCGGTCGTACCCAGTCGAGGCTTCGCGCATTTGTATCAAGTCTGGTGTAATGAACAGCATAGGCGGCGGAACGGGGGAGGGGGCACCGGGGCACCGGTCCCCCCTTGATTTTGACATTTTAACATTAGCCCTATGGGCGTTGCATGGAAAGAATGGGACCAAAAGTCGGCAGTGCCCCCCCCCCCTTAATTGAAGGTGTTCCGCCGCTACTGTGTTTTAGGGCCTTGGCCGCTACTGATGAACCGCACCAACAAATCGAAACAGTCACAAGATTAAGCGTCACAGCGAATTTTGTAGCGGTTATTTTCATGTATTTGTGCTGATTTCAGGCATCTTCGAGCGGCACAAGCTGCTGTTTTCCTTGCAGATCACCGTCACCTTACAGCGCAGCGAGCTATTCGTCACTCAGCCTGAAGTGGACTTCTTCATAAAAGGTGAGAGGGTTAACCATGACATGAGCATCAAAAGGAAGTTGAAATATTGACTCATTTGTCAAGCAAGGTTTAAAAACCGAAGAAAAACAAAGATATCCTCTATTCTATAAAAATTTAAAGGGTGTGGAAAATAGCATTGCAAAACAGTTTTGAAACTCCCGACAGCTAACTATTGAAATGCTGGCTGCCTTTGGCAAAATACAAAAGATGTGGCGCATACGATGAAATAAGCCTTTTTCAGGAAACGTTTCGGTTGAAAAAACGTCGACCGCCAAACCTGCCGACTGGATACCTGACAAGGTGAGGATTTTTGACGTTTGAGATGAACTTGATGTTGAGTATTATACCGGTTGGAATTGAGGAATAAACTTCAGCGAACGAAAACATGCATTCTTGCCCACCAATAATATCGTTAATTTGCCTGTCTCGTTTTAGGGCTGGGAGGATATTTGTCGTCTCACAATGGACTTCCCCGACCTCTTTGGAACGCTCCCGAAAGACATCCAAAAGCGGGCCGAACAGTGGCATCAGGTGAGATCACACTCGGCGATCAATTGCTCATCATTGAATGTTGAGGGCATGGCGCAGTGAATGCCCGTTCCACATTTGGTGGATATTGGATCCAACTGCCTTCCAGACGCCCTATGTTGTGGTTCCGAAGATTACAAGTAGCTGTCTGAGGGTGTTGGCCGGCTGTCATATAGGCTTTCCAAGTGATACGTTTCCATTGAACATGTTTCAGTGACTGTCTGATACTCTGCCGCCAGTGGTACTCGAGCGAGCGTCCCGAGGCCGAAGAGCTGCCGGGCGTTTACGAAAAGCGCTGCACGCCGTTCCAGCGGCTGATGGTGCTGAGGTCGTTCCGCGTCGACCGCGTCTACCTGGGCGTCACCGACTACGTCAGCGAGATCATGGGAGAGAAATACGTCACGCCGCCCGTACTCAGGTCCTGACATGGCTGGTTAACCTTGCGTGTTTGTTCATATTCAACAGGAAATAATTTTGAAGAACGGGCTGGACCGATGGAAACTGAAATTATGTTTTCAGTTGTCATCGTATGTATTGTTGGCAGATTTGAGGCGATCCTGGAGCAGTCGGCTCCGACCACGCCGGTGGTGTTCATCCTCTCTCCAGGCGCCGATCCGGCCGGAGATCTGATGAAGCTGGCGGACAGAAACGGCTTCGGCTCCAGCCGCATCAAGTTCCTGTCGCTGGGACAGGGCCAGGAGGAGGTACAACTTGCTAGTGGGAGTCACGATTGTCGCTCTTTTCAAGGGCCGCTGCAGCCCAGTGTGTTTCTACCGTGCCACTCTTCAAATGGAATAGTTACGGCCGTGTGTCGTAAGCTTTAGTAACCGTAGCGAGCAAGTACTTGATAATGGTGACACAAATTAGCGTGGGAAGTAGTTCGGCCGCCCTGCGACAGACAGTTAGTGATGGTGATGGATGGAGTGTGTACGGCTGTCATCTAAAGCAGATAGTGGTTGACACGCGGGCCGTGCGCCGTCAGGTGGCGATGCGGCTGATGGAGGCGGCGGTGGCGCGCGGCCACTGGCTGATGCTGCAGAACTGTCACCTGCTGGTCAGCTTCCTCAGGCAGCTGGAGAAGGAGGTGGAGCGTCTGCACAAGCCGCATCCCGACTTCAGACTGTGGCTCACCACAGACCCCACGCCCGGCTTCCCGATCGGCATTCTGCAGCGCTCGTTCAAGGGTAGGGCCCAACCGGCCGACTGAAGGCGAGACGCCGTGTTACAATGCAGAGATTTGACATGCCGTAAGAGTTGCTCGGTATGCCGTAACCGTGCCTCGACTTGCGGTAAAAATATATCATTGGCATTCTAGCCGTTTTTGTTCTGCAGTGTTGGAAATATACCGGGAATAATTCGTTTCTTCGATTTGCAGAACAATCACAACCCGATGTGTGATCGGCTCGGGACTTCACTGGGAAGCTGATGTGTTGAATAATTGCATCTTGTTTGATGTTCTGTATTCACTTTCGTTTTCGTGCAGTGGTGACGGAGCCGCCGAACGGTCTGAAGCTCAATCTGCGCAGCACATATTTCAAGATGCCCAGCGCCGTGCTGGACACCAACTCGGAGCACCCGGCCTTCCCCACGCTGGTCTACGTGCTCAGCTTCTTCCACGCCGTTATACTGGTCAGCAGGGATAGCACAGCTATCATGTATCCGAGCTTAACTTCTATAAGTGTCATTCGTATTGTATTTACATGTAGCATTAATGATGCTTCCGAAACATAGTATCGCTTTGTGACGATAAACTGCTCACTTGAATATCGAGTTTTGCTGGGGTTTTTTCCTGGATTCTGGACTTCCCGACGTCCTTCCCGTTCTGTCTATTACAGGAGCGGCGCAAGTACGGACGTATTGGCCTGAACGTGGCCTACGACTTCAACGAGTCGGACTTCAACGTGTGCTTGGACCTGCTGACTACCTATCTGAACAAGGCGCTCGAGTCCAAGGACACACGCCTGCCCTGGGGCAGTCTCAAGTACCTAATGGGAGAGGTGCGCAGCTGCATTGTTTGATTTTCCTGGTTCTTAAGCGCATAAAACTAGCATAATCGGCATATTAAAGCAATAATCGGCGTGTCGTAAACAGTCGCGGTGCCAAGGTTGTCGTGTCCTTTACTGTGTCCCAATTCCCAGGTGATGTACGGAGGCCGTGTGATCGACGACTTTGACCGACGCGTCGTCTCCACTTACATGGACGAGTACATGGGAGACTTTCTGTTCGACACCTTCCAGCCGTTCCACTTCTACCGAGACGGTCAGGTGAGTAGCGTAGGTCAGCCAACCGCCGCCGGGAGCCGGTCAGCGCCGGATAACGGCTATAGAGGCAGTCACGCCTGACTGCCTGAGGTTTTATTGGTGATAGCCACTGTTCATAGACCGCGGTTATCTAGCGCATTGGAAGTTTGGCGTATCCTCTGAGGCGGTGTTTTGTTCGACTCTCGGAGCTGAGGTAATTATGGTGAAGATTCCCTCTATGCGAGTTGTGCGACTAATGTAGTTCGCTCTGCTCTAATCTAGTCCTCGTGTATGGCCGTCTGCTGCCAGGTGGACTACACGATCCCGGAGGTGGGTAACCGGGACAGCTACATTGCCAGCATCGAGGAGCTACCGCTGGCCAGCGGGCCGGAGGTGCTGGGACTGCACCCGAACGCCGAGATCGGCTACTACACGTTCTCGGTGCGCGACATGTGGCTGCACCTGGTAGAGCTCCAGCCGCGCACCGGTACGGCCCATACGCCTGCCACGCTGCACTGAGGATAAGCTGTGAGGAATGGTCACTACTGTTTTATCATGCAGCTAGTCATTTTTTACGAAATATTGACATTGACCCCTTCTGTTTCAGGCACGAGCGACTCTGGGGTCAGCCCGGAGGCGTTTGTCGGTAAGCTGGCGTCGGACATTCTGTCTCGGATGCCGGTCGTGACGGACCTGCGCCGGTTGCGGCGCCAGTACGCCGCCAGCATGACGCCCACCACCGTGGTGCTGCTCCAGGAGCTCGAGAGGTTCAACTACCTCATCGTCAAGATGCAACAGACGCTCTCCAATCTCGGCAAGGTGATACAGCAAGAAATTGAACCAATCGTGTACCCAGGGAACAGTATTATTTCACTTTGCATATGCCTTGAATATGATAAGACAAACGGTTTGTTTCTCGGTGCAACGGTCGGCAGACTGACTGTGGCTTTTGTCCACAGGCTCTGGCCGGTGAGATCGGCATGGACGCCGAGCTGGACAACGTGTTCCGGTGTCTGTACAACGGCCAGCTGCCGGACTCGTGGCGCAAACGGGCCCCCATCACGTGCAAGTCGCTCGGCGGCTGGATGGAACACTTCCAGCGGCGCGTCCAGCAGTATAACGACTGGGTACGATCTGAGGGTCGCGTGACGGCTCACGCATATTTTGTGTATTGACCAGTCGTGGTACTTGTCGCTTCCTTTCTGTTCGCTTTTATTTCTTGGGTCTATCGCTTTTGGTTCTTCACGCATATTGGTATGAATTTGATTATCAGCGTTGTGTACCTAAATCCTGTTCGGTGCTGCTTACTATAATGCCGCTGGATGTTACATGCACTAGCTGGAAAGGTATGTCCCGCTGTTATTTATTTCATTTTTTCAGATCAACTCTGGCGAGCCGCAAGTGATCTGGCTGTCGGGTCTGGCCATCCCCGAGTCGTTCCTGACGGCTCTGGTACAGGCCACGTGCCGCAACTCGGGCTGGCCGCTCGACAAGGCCACACTGTTCACCCAAGTGACGCAGCACTCCAACATGGAGGAGGTGCTCGAGAGACTCACCGGGGTGAGTCGGATGAGAGCAGAAGTGGATAGGTTGACGTGTGAGGGCCGTTGGGATGAAGTTTGTCTGGATACAGTTAATTGGCATAAAGGATTTTCAAAAACAGCTTTGCTGGTTGTTCGGTTGTCAAGTTCTGCGGCGTGCATTTACTTTCTTCTTAATTTGTAGACAGGCACTACAAAAATGTTAAATTAAAACAAACCATGTCCTCCAAAAGTCAGCTCAGGGTGTGACTGAGATGTGACAGTGTCTGCTGTCTGGTTGGTGCAGGGCTGCTACGTGGAGGGCCTGTACCTGGAGGGAGCTGGCTGGAACATAGAGGAGGGTCACCTGGAGCGGGCCAAGCCCGGGGAGCTGATCCAGGAGCTGCCCATTCTGAAGGTGGTGCCCATCGAGGTGCACAAGCTCAAACTGCAGGTCAGTCGGGGAAGGGGTGGCTATGTTGTCAACGCCAGCCCCGAGACTTTCGTAGAAGTTCATTTGCATGCAAGGTCTTACTTTGTTATTCAGGATAAGCTTTTCAGGGTGCTTGGGTCGTTTGTTCTAAATCCGTTCCATTGTTTATGCTAAATAGCTGATAAGGCAGTGGCCGGTCTGTTCCTGACGGCGCGGCGCCCTCTCGCTGGGTGGACAGGACACGTTCCGCGCGCCCGTGTATGTCACCTCCGACCGGCGTAACGCCGCCGGCGTCGGCCTGACGTTCGAGGCGGACCTCTACACCAAGGAGCACCTGTCGCACTGGACGCTGCAGGGCGTCTGTCTGCTGCTCAACACCGACTAGTCGCCGGGCACGGGACCGCGCCGCCTCACTGAACGGGTTAAGCTTTGCCAGGGAGATCTGGGGCAGCGCTGGGGGAAGGGGACGGTGCTCAGTGCTCTGAGGCGTCCTCCGCTGCAGACGAGTCATGCGAGCAGCGACCTGAGATGTGATCTCGAGAACGAATCGATTCTAGTCGATCTCAGTTTTGTTGTATTGTATTGTTGTGTAGCGACTGTGTGTACAAATCATGGACCAATCTACGCTGTGAAGCTATTAACTACGACATCTGATGATGCGTAGCAAAAGTTGTGTTTATATTAAAATCATGTATTCATTATTCAGCACTAATATAATGTCTTATGCAGCATCATAACGTTTTTTTATGCTAACAAGGGTCTACGATAATGGCCGTATTCTGTCATGCAAAAGCGCTTCTTTCGGCCAAATTACCTGGCAACCGGGTATAATCACATTTGAGTCATTTTCTAATAGTCAGGGCATGACATGAGACGACTATGGTATACGTGGTGAATCACCCGATCGGCTAAGGAGAAACAGTGAATGTACCTAAACAAACAATCAATATTCTACACACGGGAGGGGCGGAGAGGCAATATGCCGATACTGGACCTCGACCTGAGGCAATACATACAACGCTGGTGTACGAATAAAAAAGTACAAACAGGCCCACAATCGCCCATAAGTCGGCGGCTGGCCCACAGTCAGAATGCCGCTGAACGGTTCAACATTTTCGAACTGCTGTGGCTGCAGCAGCCGTCACTGACCACTGCGTCCCGGTTGTAACCCTGAGAAGGTTTTGGACCTGGCGGGTTCTGAGCCACTTTCCTTGCGTACACAACCCGGCGGACTCCCCGGCCGTTGAGAGTGCGGTGTCCGTTGGACTGGCTGGCTTCAGCGTGACGCCGTCCTGAGGAAGGTGAGAACCGGAGTCTGCAGATGATGCCCTTGTTGCACCGCCGATGAACCAGCTGAAGACTGAGACGTCGGCCTGTCGACATAGTGCATGGGTTAGGATGGCTGATCGCCGCAACTGATTGAAAATGTCGCGGACCTGAAACTATTCTCCCATTTCTGTAACATCGGTTTTTGCTTTTTATACTGCAATCATTGAGAGAGATTGTCGCAGTTCATCAGTTATTATGGTGCAAACTATTGGCCGAAAGACCCTGTTAAAGCTACATAAAAATTGGACAATTCAAACCGTTCCATCAATGCTCGTATGAAATAATGGCATAACTTCTATACCCATTTGCTATTCTTGGTAGTGAAAACGTTTTCAAATGTGACAAGCGCACAAAACCTGTCACAAACTTCCTCGGTAACAGTCAGTTCTTACCGTGGCGCTTACTCGAAGTCCGTCTGCGCGCCCCAGCCCTGTCGGCAGAAGACGCACTCCCTGCCCCGGTAGCGCTCTATGGCGGTATCGAGCAGCTGCAGCAGGCGGAGGGCCTCGGCGTTCACCAGATCGGCGCCACTCGTGTCCAGGCTACGCCGCTTGAAAAACCCGTTCCAGCCGTCCTGTCAGTAGAGAGCAAAACCTGACGTCAGGTGGTCACCGGTAAAATCATGCAACGCTTGGTATTTAACTTTGTGATAAAATCCATGAGCAAGAGGGATGATCTTGGTGGTAATTTTGCTGAAGACTTTATATTTGTGAACGTCATGTCGCATCTTACAGCTTTGATAAATGGACTTACGCTAGCCACGGCGTTGAGGGTGACAAGCAGAATGTAGCCGATCACCGATGCCACGGCGAAGAGGTACGTCAGGAAGCGCAGCACGCCGTCGAACGTGACGAAGCGCGGCCACTTGAACTTGGACCTCGTCCTCTTCTTCTTCTTCTTCTTGGGACGGCTTTTGTAGCCGTGGCCGTGGCCGCCACCACTCGAGTCGCGTGACCAGATCCTGCCGCAATACAGCGTGAGTCGACAGTCATTGGTGGTTGTTTGCTAAGCTCAGGATTCAGACGAGGTGGCAACAGTCGGGTCGAAAATATCGGGCTTATGAAACATGGGTCACTGAAGCGTAATGCGCACTGAAGCAAGTATCACTGGATGACCAATGACAAAATAAATCAAGTATGATACAGTCACATAAGGATCCCATCACAATTGAAAAAGCTAACTAACTGAGTCGTGTGATTTCGAGAGTATAAGCTGGCTCAGCGTGCCGCCCGGCCCGGCCCGGCCGGCCGGCCGCCTCCTGACGGTATAATGGTGGGAGCGTGCTGCGGAGGCGGGCCGGGCGGCGATTTTGGTCCGCGGTATCCGACCCAATTAGCTCCCGATCGGGCTGATAGTGCTGTCGGCACACTTCTCCAGTGAACGATGGTCTCTTGAAAACGGCCATAACCATAGCCAACTGACCACAGGAAGAGCATGAGAATGTAAACGAAGAGTGAGGGAGAAGAGGAAGATGGAACCACAGATGGTCTAGTTTTTAGGACAGGTTGTAAAGCCGCGCCCGTATCCTTGTGAACCTGCTTTGATTTTCGTTAGTCCAAATTCGTCGAAGCGGAACACACGGTCCCAGGCCCATCCGTGGCCATCCATGCGTAACCGCATAGGTTGGCTACTACAATTGCGATTAGAGCTCTGTTTTGAGCAGCGATATCTCGCACCTAATTGTATTTGAGATTTCACTGGTAACAACTCGGATGCATGAATAGAGTAAGGCTCTGCTGGAAATCCCTTTAATACGGGTACGTTTAAAGGTGAGCTAGGCTCTCCTTATTCGGACAGTGTAGAGCATCATAAATGCTCTATTAACGTTTTACCCTTGTTAGCCACGGACAAAGTCCATTGTTTGCTCAGATGAGAGGAATTTTGGTCTAACTTCATTGAAAAGTCATTCAGAATTGTTTAATTAATCGCGCTCTATCTGGGGCATGACTGTGCACCTACATGTGACGCGAGGAGATGCCTATTGCATGTTTTTCTTGCCACGAATATGACTGATCTGTCGTGGTTCCCAGTTGCTAAAAAGTCTAACAGTTTGGTGGTTATCCAATTATCAATGGAAATCACTGCATCTGGCTCAATCAGGGTCTGTTGTGTACCGAAGCATCCATGCAACGCTTGCGCTGAGAACTACATAGTGTCATGACATACAATATACCTACATTGCCTACGTCTAATAATTATCCGCACTAAAGGTCCCGAACCTTCCTCAGACGTGGTTTTGGTTTTAGATGTGTTATAAAATATATGTGGACCCGTACAAGTCACACCGTGCTGAACGCTCTTATTCCGAAGACGGCCTGTAAACCCGCGCCCCAGTGGCGGTCTCAGCCAACTTCGCCCTAGTGGGGGGGCATATGTTACCACCCACCTCTAACTCAAAAACTAAGAGGGCTAGAAAGACGCGGTAAAAAGCAGTCGATAGCTCTCAATGCGTACGTTTGAAAGTATTTCAGTCATTTTTCATCTTAGAGCAATATTGGGGTCACCAGAGGTCATCAAAGGTCAAAATTTGACAATGGTCATTACATTTTTCAGAAAACATGCCGTTATCTTAGGAACTATGGTAGCTAGAAAAACGCATGGAAAAGCAATCGATAGTTCTTGAACTCTTCTTTTGAAAAGGTCATTATCAAAATTGACCTCAGGTCACGGGTTTAGCCTCCAGAGGGCAAAAACTCCAAAAATAGCTGTTTTTACGAAAAGTGTTTTTCGACAATAACTTTCGACAACAAAAAGCCACGACATTTCTATTGCCATAATCGTGTTCCTCTCGCCGAGACGCGTCGAATGAACTATAATTTGACCTTGAATGGTCAACTTGAAAATTTGACCTCAGGTCAAGGTCATGACCTGACCGGAAAAGGTCATGTTGCATATCAGTCGATGCGTCTCGGCAAGACAAACACAATGAGACCATCCCCAGCGTTCTATCTCTTTCCAATCGCGAGTTATTGGCAAAAATCTGTTTGTAGCCTCAAATGACCTCGGATGACCTTTCTAGAGGCTATCAGCAAAAATGACACCCTGGTCATCACGGGTGGTCCAAATCATTGTGATTCTGAAATATTTGGACTGTTCCTATGCGTACACACGGATCTAGAGGCATTTTCATTTTTCTCCATTGACTTGTAATGGAAAGGTCACGCCACTGACCTGACCTTAGGTCACGGATATAAAAAATCCGAGATATACAAAGTGTAGGCGCCCATAACGTCATGCATTCCACCAAGTTAAAAACCTTTCTGACAATCACTGCAGGCTGGACATGATTGCAAACTTTTTTAGGGTTGGTCAGTTAACTTGACCTGGTGACCTGACCTGACATGACCTGGGGTCAAAAATTTCATACATTGTCCAAAATTGATGTACGAAAAGCTACCCCAAGCGGCGCGGCGCTACGCGCCGCGGTTTTTTATTTACACGCAAAAAACGCGACAGGGTGGTAACATATGCCCCCCCCCCCCCCACTGGGGCGAAGGTTAACGATTGTCTCCAGACATAAGTGCGACGAACCTTTGTGTTTCAGAGCGTGACGGCCCCGTTAGTCCGAGATACATATTTGTCGGATTCGCCCGATTCCGGAGACGTGCGCCTAATTTCTTGTCTGATCCGAGTCTGACCGATGTCAAAGGCACGCGTCAATACTGTGCATGAAACAATCATGGACATGTTGGCTTATATAGCGTTTGGGTATCTGGCTGCCTAAGTCATTGCTGGAACTTGGGAAATTGAGTCATTGAAGCTGCGCTGTATACATTGTACATTGTAATTAACCGCAGGTTGGTTTGAAATAGACAAACACTATTCGTTAGAATTGTGTTTTCTATTGAAAAACAACCGGAGCTACTTACAAGATACCAGTTTTCCCGGTATTCTTTAGACTGATACAGGATACTCATGAGCGGTTAGCGCTGACTGTGCCCTGGCAGTCCTGACCGGCTCTGACGTTCGACCTATACCCTGTTTGAACCTATCTTAGCCGTCATTTGTCCCTTCAGCTGTCAATAATATCGGTGAATGTCGGTGAACTGACCTGGGTTAATATCGGTACCGCCGGGCTGGTCACGGCCCGTCGAACGGTCGACTGTGCTTGGAGCTCACTCTCGGTGGGAAGGAATGCAACGAACACGCTCGAAACCCACGGACCATCACCCCGTGCTGCGGTCTTATCCGTTATTAATGGTGATATGGACTGTCGGTCCATGGGCCATGAAATATATCAAACCGTGGAACATTTGAGATTCGATCTATGATGCATAGTCAGATGCGGCTCGCCTCTTTCGCATGGTGTCACTTATTGTGAAATCGTCTGCTGCGAATATGGAATTCAACGTCTTATTTAAGTCTTACTTCTTATTTTACTTAATTCTTCTTATTCAACATAACGTTAGATAGGGCCAGAAACCCAGTCTTTACTTACGTGCGGGTAACTAACATCCTGATAGCTACTTCAGAGGAAAAGACTTATTCGGTCACCCGTCTGATGGAGCGCCCGTCCAACGTTGCAGGGCAGGTAGTGTGCTCAGTCACGGGATGATGGCTGGATCAGTCGCGGGCAATACTGGGACAAAATGGATGTCTACCTATTGTGTCAATAACGGCCGGGTCGGAGCCTTACCTGCGTATCATGGCCTCGGCGAAGTCGAGCACTCTGGAAGACATCGACTTGCTCGTCTTCGTTTTCTTCTTACGTCTCCGTTTGGGCCGTTTGGTGGTGTGCTCATGACTATAGTCGTAGTCATAGTAGTCGCCGTAGTCGTCCGAGTCCCTGTTGTAGGTGTTGGTCAGTCCGTGCTGGTGGCTGTCCCCTCGCGAGTAGGAGGAGTAGGTGTCCACCTCGCCGCCGTGGTGGTGGCTGTCGGCCCGCGAGTAGGACGAGTACGTGTCCGCCTCCGCGCTGCCGCGGGAGCCCGTCGCCGAACCGTAGTCGCTGTAGTCGTTCCGGGTGCGGTAGTCGTTGTTGTACAGCCGGTCGTAGCTGTCCAGCCGTCCCCGGTGGCCCGTCTGACTGTAGTCCCTCCTGGCGCTCTCACTGGCCGGACTGGTCCTGTAGTAGTCGTCGTACGCCCTGTCCAGGTTCAGGAACGACTTGTCGATGGGGATGTAGCGGTAGACGATCTGTTTGTGCGCGGCCGCGTGCGGCAGCTCCTGTTTCTGCTGGCTGGCGCCGACAGAGGACGATGCACCGACCGCCGCGGCACCGACGGCGGCCGCCAGCAGCAGCGCCGGCAGGCCGCGCCGCGCCGACATGGCGTGCTGCCGCCGCCGCATCGGAGCGTCGAGTGACGGTCGGCCGGGCGTCCTGCGTCCTCCGTCGGTCGGCCCGGCGCCTAATTGGTCGGCCCGCCGCCGCCGTCGATGTCCCGGTTCGACGCCGGCCCGTCCCACATGTCCTGCGGCCCGGCGCGCGCCGCCATCCGCCGTCCGCCCGGCGTCCTACACCGCCCGGCCGCCACATACCCACCGACCGCACGCCGTCTGTCGGCCGCCGGCTGTCAGATTCTACTCGTATTGTCGCTCACAGCTCATAAGTCACGTGGCGGGGCCACCAGTGCCGCTGTGTGGAACCGCGCTACGTTCTGGCGCATTCTGGGCCATCCCGCAGCGTCATTCCTCTGAGTGCTTTCCGGCGGTATCGTCCTTTACAATGCTGACCAAATTATTGCGAATTGCTTGTAGCGGCGTAATGTCTGATTAGTTCCGCCGCACACCGGCCGGCCATACCATAGTCCTGGACCACGCTCAGATCGGAGAAAATGTCGTGTCAGTAGACTGAAGGGCCGACTTAGTCATTTCAGATGAGTCGCTTTAGTTAGGTTTTGGCTATCTTCTGGCCATTCGGTCTTTTCCGCTTCCTCTGTTTCGTGCAGTCCTATTCACATCGGATCATAGTGAATCCTGTAGGTAGTGCCGGTTCAGGAAATATGTCCTGGCTTCGCCATGGCTGGAAAGGTAGCCCGGTGAACTAAAACTTATTTACAACATATCGGTTCTTTCGTGTGTAAAAGCCTGATTTGTAACTTTAAATCATTCGTATGAATCCTATCTCCCCCCCCCCCCCCTCTCATGTCTCAAAAACTCCCCGTTCATCTTCCCAGTGTTATTGTGGAGTGGGGCGTTGCAGTTCCTTATCGCTGTCGCCTGCGCGGTGCTTGTGTCGTGTGGGGCGTTACAGTCACTGCACTGGTGCGCGCAGTGATAGTATCTTGTGCTGAGTCGTAGTCTCCAGCCAGCTAGTCTATCGGAGATTGCACGTGTGATTCGTGTGTGGCTTATTTAAAATCATTATTTTTCAAGGCGTGTTATGAGCATTCTTTGAAACGCCGATTGGATTATCAGTGTGTCATTCGAAAATTGAAAGCACAACGTTTCAGTGAAATCTAACACACTAACATTAATAGAGAAACTAAATAAAAATCGTATCAAGCATGCAATCAGGAAACGCTCCGTAAACGTTTCCATCGCTCCTGCCGCGCTGCGTTCTATCAATCTGATAATGAGGTTTCCGAATTCCGTCCATCTATTCGACGGCGCAGTACGAGTACGGTACGGATCACCCGTCGTATCACCCGTATACCGTTTGCACGCGTCTGGCCCCGCCCGCCATGTGCTCAGTAGACTGCTCAGGAATCGGACACCGCACCTCATTACGCAGCGCCGGCATATGGCCACCGCCCGGCCGGTGCCGTTCCGAATCTGCACCGTTCGCCGGCCGATATTGTGGGCTTTGATCGATCGGACCTGTGCAGTCAGTCGAGACAATCCTTCAGGGCGGTCAGGTGTCCAATCTGGACCACTCTGGAACCAAGCGTATGGTATTGGTGATGTTTGGGCGGCTCTGAGCGTTACGAACAGCGAGCAATCAAACCATGGAGCAGCTGGCCTTACTTTGGGTGCTAGAGTGCTTTCAGTGCATCTGTACCTATGTGTGAACATAGGCGACAGTAGGCTGTTATTGCGGTATGTGTGAATGCAATGCAGTTCGTTCGTAATTGGGTTATGGGCTAATAGGTATGGATGGATGGTAATAGGTAATGGATGAATTAACAAACATATGGCTGGTGTCAGAGCACATGACATTGAAGGATAAGAGACATCGGACCATAAGTGGGCCAAAGCATCCATCGGTCCGGTAATCGCCGAGTTCATGGGTGGCCGCCCAGGACAGGCTTTCGAGTTACCTGGACCACCATTAGGGGACGGAGCTCACCGACAAGCCACTTACGTACCTGGTGATCGGGGACTCCGCGGCACGAAAAAAAACGACTGAGGATGGCACAGAATCGGAGCGACGCGACGGTAGGAGATCACTGAGAATAAGGTTATTGGTTGTGCATATGTTCGAAGGTGCCTGCAGTTTGACTGCACAGTGCGACGCATCTGTGCATGATGAGCCTGGGTGAAGGACAAAGGTCACCACTTGCACGTCTGCAAGAGTGGCATTGACCTAAATACATTATCGGTAGGTAGCCCAATACGGACTTCTCGAATGTATGTGTTGGCAAATAGAGAACGCCGATTGAAAGGAGTTCTGCAGCGGTAACGAGAAGCTCCACTCGGAAAATGATTTTACAGAGCTGTAACTGAAAGGTTAGCCAAGCCACAAGGAAGAACATGCTACGGATGCCAAACCCAGTAAACATGACGACGTCGGCCCGACGTCGGGCCGAGGCTCGGCCCGACGTCGGCCCAACGTCGGTTCAACCTCGGCCCGACATCGGCTGCACGTCGGATATGCCCGCATGTTCCGACGTCCAGCCGAAGTCCAGCCGACTTCGAGCCGACGTCGGGCCGAGATCGTTTGCCGAGGTTGACGAGATCGTTTGTCGTTGGACCGACGGGGCCGACGTCGGCATGTTTATTGGGACAACGCGCCAAAAATATCAACCGGCGGCGGGATTCGAGCCCCCCAGTCGCCGACGTCGGCATGTTTACTGGGACAACACGCCAAAAACATCAGCCGGCGATGGGATTCGAACCCAGTGCCATTCGAACGCGAGATTAGTGCGCTAACCACTACACCACGCAGCCAGCTAACGAAACTGGTTTGTTTTGTTCGCTTATGCCCTTTCGGTCTGACAAGACCATTTCAGAGCCGGAAGGATCATAGGATGGAGACATTGGTCTTCTTGGCGAGCACCCTGGGTCCAGTTCATATAGAGTCCCTGGTCCCATTGCTGTTACGTGACACTTATTGGAAAGGGCGACCCCACAATGGATTCATTTAGCCACTCTTACACACCTGCACCAACGTTTCCCAAAGTGTCCCTTTGATAAGTGGCACTTTGGCAAAGTGACACTTGCCGACTGGCCTTCCGCCTTTCTATATGAACTGGGCCCGGCCCTGGTGAGTTGCCGGGGCTGAGCCTGACCAAAGGATAGGCCGAGCAGCCCCCAAGCACTCACCGCACCCGGCTACGGGCGAGCTCGGCTTACGGGCAATCCCAAATGGGATAAAGTTTCCCGTCCAGTCCGGATCAGGGGGTTGCGGCGTGGAGGAAGATTTGAGTTTCCTGAGGATATTTTGAATACAGAAGCTCTTTATGAAACATGAAACATGTATTTTATATTATTTTAACGGTCAAAACAGCGGCCGATGTCGGTCCGACGTCGCCCCGACGTCGGCCCGACGTCGGCTGGACCTCAGCAATTGATCTCGGTCCGACGTCGGCCCGACGTCGGCTGGACCTCGGCTGGACGTCGGAACATGCGGGCATATCCGACATCCAGCCGACGTCGTGCCGAGGTTGGACCGACGTCGGGCCGACGTCGGCATGCTGATGCCGAGTTGCCGACGTCACCCCGACGTCGGCCGACGTCGGGCCGACGTCGGCATGTTTACTGGGAACACACTCGAGGATGGAGTATGACCCGATTTCCCCTCTCCCGGAGCTATCACAGGACAAGTTTCTGGAGCCCATCGCCAGTGAAGCGTAAAAACAGGACGCACACAGACAGCCGCACACACAGACACAAGCAGGAGTAAATGGACATGAGCCGCAGTCGCACAGAACATGCCAGCAGTCACGCACAATATCTCGGACACACAGTCGGACAGACGAAGGGTCATTAGCAGCGCACCTGTTCTCTGCGGACGGACAGGACCAGGGTGTCGTAATGTCCGCTGCGGTAGGACCGGGGTGTCGTGTCCTGCCCGGCCCACCCGGGCTGACCCACAAACCCCAGCAGCCAAGCCGAGCGCGGCCGGCCAGGAAATGACTCCCGGTCACAGCCGAGCGCCGCCCGAACGGCTGCCGGCCGGCTCCCCACTCTCGGCAGAGACGGCGGTAATGACCGCGGGCTCATTATGTATTTACGGCTGACAGCTCAGCCGCCATCTCCGGCCGGCCAAGTGTGCCGACCGTCGGCGGCTGGTGACGAGAACGACCGTGTTTACAATCACTGTCAAACTCACTGAACTCCGTGAGACAATCGGTGAACGTCTCCGGTTCATTAGCTGCTGTGCTAGGGTGGTAGGGGTTCCGGTGCCTGAGCTGATACAAGGCACCTCGTTAGCTGCGTCAACTAGACGAGTCACCAGCATGTAGGCTGATCTTTCCGAATTAAACTTTTTAGCGCATTCGGCGTAACAAAACCCGTGGTGGGCGCCGTGGGCTGTTTGCCCACAAATGTGTTCAACTGGTGATCCAACAACCATCCTAATGGTGTGGTGCTTGCTTGTGTTCCGTTAGTTTGCTCGCGATTTGTGAGGTGTCCCGAATCTGGGCCGGACCCGGGCTGGATCTAGGCTAAATGTGGTCTGTTTTAATCGGCATTTTGATCGCACGGAGCCGAAGTCGAGTGGACTTCTGCGGAGCCAGGTGTGTAGCAATCATTAGTTTATCGGTGTGGCAGTGCTGACGAATTGAGCGATGCGACTCATCGGACGAACTAACCCGATCAGCCCAGACCCAGCCTTGATTCAGCAGACCTGACCGGGCAGAGCTAGATCTAAACAGACCTTATTAGATATGAATGGATCTGCTCAAGTCGGACCGGACGTCCGGGTGTCACCAGATCTAAGCGGATCTGACCGAATCAGAGACATTAGCTGAGCTAGACCATCTAACCAAGAGGCCAAACTGGTGATAACCACCCGGCTTCTCACAGCGCAGGTAAGTGGACAATCGCTTAGCATAGACGAGGAAGCTGATGATGCGGATATTCAACACTGATCATTGCTCATTCCCACATCCCCAATCCCATTCATTCTCCAACACCAAACACGATAACCCGACCGTGTGAATGTATTCTAAACATGTCGTCCCGTAACACCGGACGTGTCACCGTGCACCAGTCACCGTTGGCAGCAGAGCAGCAGGCGGGG